CGAAAACAGAATGATTTTAACTTTAAGGCAACAGTTTGTATTTCGGACAAAGTTTTGGAAAGTTTTGACAGTGATGGAAAGTCTACATAATTAAACATCCTTCAGATATTTTTGCAGGTGTGTTGATTTTGTATTTATGCATTATCTCACATTAAATCCCGGAGCACATTCAAAACAACTATTTTAAGAAAAATCTGGAAATTAATGGAATTAATGACACTGGCACATCTCGGGTGACCAATAAAAACAAATCTGACTCGCATAATAACATAGCAAAACAGTCAATATCAATAGGGCCACAACGATAATTCGGTCGCTCGATTGATCGATTGATCGATTGATCGATTGATGATTGTTTTGTTTTGTCCAACGTCTGATATCTAAGCATGCAAATTTATGAGACCCTGCGCACCAGCCAATCTGAGTCGACTTTACAAAATTGTGACGTTATTTCGATCAGAAATGTGGACTTAGCTGTTGATTGGTCAATTTAAATGCCATATTTTTGTAACAACAACGGGCATATAGGCCTACTAATAAAACCTGAAGACGACATTGACCCTCAAGACTTATTTAAAATACGTGATGATCATTCGAAGCCACAGGACGTTTGCGCATCAAGTAACATATCGTTACAGGCCTTGTGACGCAGCCTATTTTTGCTAACACAATTCACAACGTAAAAGCATAATAGATATATCATGTCTAGGTTCAATAAATTGTCTATGACGAGTAACCGAAGACCCCATATAGAAGGCGCCCACTGAATGGTCAAAATCTCGAGGTCAAGAGGCAGTCTTAATTTGGAGAATTAATCGCAGAACCTGCTCGCATCATATCATAGACCCTTGCTGTGCAAGGGGATATTTTATAGACTAAAGCAAATCTGGTCAGCTGCCTAAAATATAATGACATGACGGATGTACGTATTTCGTGAAAAAAAAATATATATCCAGAGGTTGAAATGACTTGATAAATCGTTTTCTCCCTTGGGCCAGGGTGGAGCCGTAGGAAACCAACCAACACCCAAACATTTCCAGAGACCCCTCCCTCTACGGCCCGGCGAGGCTAAGTAACCCCAGTTCCCCGATTAAGCAATTCCACCTGTCTTGGGAAGGGTGGGGGGCTGGAAATGATCTGCCGCTAATGTTTGTCTTCCTTTTATCATGGATCATAACACCTTGATTATGTCACCCTGCAGTTGTTAACTTCCTAATAAAGTTTACCCAAGGGTCATTTTTACAGCATCCAAAATCTTGAGTTACATAGCCTCAAGGTGTAGATCTTTGGGATATGTTCAGTAGCTGTGTCCAGTGCATTTCCGTGAGTACATGTACAAATACTTTGCTACGAGTACGAGTATGAGTACAAGTACTTTGTCATGAGTACGAACTAAGAGTACGAATACCAGGCAATTTTTGTCCCTGAGTACCAAAATAAGTAGTACCAGTACGAGTACAAAGTATGAGTACAAACTACAAATAATTGCCATGGGTAGGAGCAAATTTCAATGGTTACATTTTTTGCTATCAAACTAGGCATTAAACAAATGCAGAAGCCTCCCAAACAGTAGAAAATTGGTTCTTTTCCAGCATGCACCTCTTAAAAAAACAAGTTTTGCAATTGCAGGATAATAAATTAGCAAGAGTACGAGTACAAGTACTTTGTTATGAGTATGAGTACGAATACAAGTACATTTAGTTCTCATGAGTATGAGTACTACAACACATACTCAATTTACACTATACAGGCTTGCAACTGGGAATTTAGAAAAAAAACGCGGAGATTCCAAATCACACAAGATTTTTGTACAGTGTTTTTTAATCTGTAATGACATTCATGAGAAGTAAAAATGAGGAAATCAGCAGATCCGAGGAAAAGCTGCATGCCTGCACTGTAGTCAGATTCTAAAACCAATGTCGTGTTCCTATTTAAAACTTTTGTTGGTCCTAGAAGACAAAAAAAAGCGTCCTCTTTGTGCCTTTCTTTTTTATACATTGTAGATCCGACTGTCGCTTGTGAATTACCTTAAACTTGCCTAAGCCTCACGTTGACCCAAAATTTTGGTTGAGATGACTACCTACACCACTAAGGCATAGACCAAAATAGTCTGTGACCAGATTTACTTTTGTAGCCTATAATCTTATTTCCTCACATCAGAAAATAATTTGGGGCAGGGCCGTAGCTATCACAGCGCAGGCATTTTCTGCATGAAGACAGCTCTCTCCAGCAAAGAACTCCATCCATTATTTATGAGAACCTCCAAAAATTATCCTGGTATAAAATTTCATCAATCACTAACAGTGAAACAGATATGATTTATTGCCCAAATAGACTGGTTTTTGGTCCTAGTTGGGTTTTTAATCTTAACCTGTATGGTCAGATGTTCTTACAAAATAAAAACAAGCGTCCTTACTGTGTGCACCGCCCCGAAATTGATCCAATTTGGGGAAGGAGGTGAGAGCTGGGAAGTCCGAACTGTGACATAAATGAGACGTGTGTGGGGGCCTGTCCCTCACGCTCATACAGCAGCCTAAAACTTTGACCCCCGGTGAGAGGGCAGGCTTCTAAGAAACAAGGAAACTTTTAGTTTTAACTGATGGATGCGGTGGGATTTTCCTGGCAATTTCTACCTATTTGTCAGATACTAACTTGTTATCGAGGGGCATGACTGAACATATTTGGTTCAGTTGATGGTCAATAAAAGTGCCAGCGGCACAGTCTAAAATTTGCAAAAGAAAATTTGCGGCCAGGAAAAAAAATTTTGCGGAAGGGATGATATTGGTTGCACTGTCAAGCACAGAAGTTTTTACATTGTATGTATGTCTGTTCCTATAATCCCTTTTTAAATTGTTAATTTAAAATGAAAGGTTTTTGTTATAAAATTGACATTGACTTCATATTTATTCAAGAAACTACATTTGTTTGGTCTTTGCACCCCCCCTTTGGTATTAGTGTGTTGTTTGAATTTCTTTGAATTCAAAACAAATTTGGCACAACTTTGTGGGCATTAAGTTTAAAAGTGATGCTTCATAAGGATTACCATTTGTTTACAATGTGATTCCAAAGTTAACATTATGTTTAAATTGAATAAAAGATTATAATTTACAGTGCATACTTACAACTATAATCACACATGATTGTGTGTATTTGTGAGGAATGATCCCAAATACAGGAACAATGACTGGATGTTGTCTAAAAATTTACAAAGTCAAAAACTTTGAAATTTTTTTGTGTTACCGAGTCTGATATACAGCCCGAGGTAATAACTATTTCTTCAAGAATTGTGCGGGTATTTCAGGTAAACACAGCTCGGATTACTGAATATGATAGGTTAAACGCCCAGTGTCTTTTTGTTCTGCAGAGGCAAATTATTATCATCTGGATGCATCGGGCTAAAGTCAACAGAATTTGATAATATCAAAACTGCCCACGCCCTTCGCGTCAACACCTGTGCATGGACGCCTTGGGCATCAGGACCAAGTTTATCGCAGTGTTTCCAAAGTGTTGAATTAAGGCTTGGGCGATTCTAAAAGTTCTAAAATCGATTCCGATTCCCAACAGGAGTCACTATTCCATTCAGAATCACGTAAAAAAGCTGTGAGGAAAGACAGGCCTGCAGAATTTTACTAATGAAGGAAAGCTTATATGAATCAGTTTTTATATAATAGTGTCACTCATTAAACCCCCTTGAGTGATAGGCCTCTATTTACTAGGAACCTTCCCCACTTTTGCAAACTCCAACAATATGGTAAACTCAACACCTAAACTGTTACACTCTGATTATGATGCCTGACCCCCTGTAAAGCATAACTGAGTTGCAGTCCTAACTCCAACATAACCAAACAAAACATGCGGATAGATTTTGAAGGGTTGGAGGTGTAAAATTGATAATTTGCCACAAATATGGACATGTTGAGCGACGTAAAATTTGTTTTGAAGTGTCTGAAATCTTTACTCGAAAAGTCAACTCGATTGGAACTCGAAAAGTCAACTCGAAACTCAAAAACTTGAAACTCAAAAAAATCAACTCAAAACTCTAAAAGTGAACTCGAAATTCAAAACTTAAAGAAAAGAAACCCTCTCTCTACTGAGAATTGATTCCTCAAAAAGTGGAATCACGATTCCGATTTCAACTTTCGAAAGATTCTGTTCAATTCTGACCTGGAATGGCCCAAGCCTAGTGCAATTAATGCATAAAAAGCTTTGTAGGGTTTTGTCTCTAATGTGACCAATTTAAACTTCAATTTGTCTTATTCAGCTATATCCCGGATGTGGATTGCTACCACAAATTCTCACAAGGAACATATAGGTTGCAGATGCACAGCTATTGGAAGCTCATAGCTGAGCCTACAATTAACACTAAACCTGGCTGAATCAAACAGGATTACTGGAACAGGAAAAATGTTCCATCACACTTTGTTCATCTGGGCAGTAAAAACAAAAACAGTGTTTATTCTACTTGTTGGGTGACTTGGGTCTTCGTCACGTTGGATTCAGCAGACTACACACTTCAATAGCATTATTGTATACAACGAGGACATTAAAAAATACTTGTTGTAAGGTTATGGGTTAAAAAAAAAAAATCAAATGTGTACATTTACTAAAAAGGCTTAATACAAAGAACCACATTTTGAGATATAGCCTTGACGATGTTTTTAACCACAAAACAGCTTTCTCGGCCTGCCTTTATGAGGAACCATTACCAGGCAGAAATTCAAAGGTTGTCCATGACTTGCAAGAAAGCTGTTATCGCTGTGCTGTGGACCCCAAAATTGATTTATTACTCTTGGTGTCCTCATTGCAAAACGCTTTGTCCTCTAACTATTATTTATGACTGAAATCTGGACTGGACATTCAAATTAGAGTCCAGGTCAACTAAAATGCTTCTGTCATGCAACAAAGATAAATGGCAACAAAGATAAATGGCAACAAAGATATAGGCCTACAACGCTATTTGACTTTTAGAGAATGAATTTGCAGGAAAGGTTTCTCCTGCTGTTTGTAATTTTTTTATTGGGAAAAAAAGTGAACAATTGAAATGAAACAAACTATACACTAACAAAGACAAAGCTTTAAAGTTAAAGCCTACGATAGGAATCCTTGCTTTTAAAATTTGGAAAACAAATTTTCTTGAAAGTCTTGGCTACGGCTTGCTGAGTATGTCATTTTAACTTTCTATCAAAACAAACTTTCCAACATGCGTCATGTTCTGTTACAGAAACTTTGTGTAGGGTGTCTGCACTATCATTAAAATAATGTATTGAAAAAAATATTAAGAAAAACATTGCACTGTCCTACAAGAAATGTTGTACAAGAAAACTGTTGTAAAATAAATTTATCTTTTGGATGTCTTATCATGGCCATCAAAGTGGCACAAGTGCAAGTATATGTGCATAAAGTTGGATAGCACATAAATGTTCCCTTTTATAATGGCATAAATTGTTGCATAAAGAATTCAGCTGCTGTAACATTTTCACCCATACAAGTAGGTCTGGGGTTTCTTTTGAACTGGTAGATCTAGAGTGTTTATAACTGAGCCACATTATACTATCTGCTCAAACAATAGCAGACAGGCAAAGAGTAATGACACCCTCTCCCTGCTGGACCTGTGGGTAAATTCCAGTATGCACTTGGGACTACTTTCCAAAGGACAGGTCTCTTTGGAGATTTGGGTCATATTGTCAGAAAATAAAAACTGACAAGATACTTCCCCCACTGCACCACATGGCTACTTATATTACTTTTTCATTTCTGTCATGAAGAGGAAATAAATGTGATTTGATTTGATTTGAAGGACCGATGAAATTTCACAACCTAATACCATGGTGCAATGATCACCACTGGATTACTAAACTTGATCATTCTTTTATTATTTCATTTGATTCTTTTTTTGTTTGATTCACTTTGAAGCCATGTAAGGTCGCTTTTTTCTTCGGTGGCTTGCGTTCCTTGGTTTTTTATTTGGGTTGCTTGGGTGTCTTCGAGCAATACGTCGGTTCCATGTCGATATCCAGCCCTGCGTCGCTGACTTTGGTCTTCAGGAATGTGTAGATCTCTAACAGGCAGTATGCATCCAGTGCTGTCAAGAATAGACAAATTCTTCACTTATCAGAAACAATACGGTAAGCAGAAGGTCATGGGCTCGAATCCCACCCGAGCAAGCTTTTGAATTATTTTCGCACAGGCTCTGAGACAGCACCTAGTACACAGTGCTTACGAAATTGCGAAAAAAACAAATAGGGAAACACCAAATATTGACTTCGTATCCCCTCCAAGGGAAAAAAAAATCCATCATACAAGTCCATCACAACTACGGTCGCGGGTAAATCACAAGTCAATTCACAAGTCCAGTCACAACTAACAAAAGATGAACAATAAAGCCGTGTCTGCACTGGACTTTTTTTTGGAAGGTTTTACCGAGACGATGGTAAAATGAGAAATGGTCCAATGTGACCACTGTCCGCACTTGGACTTTCGACACGGGAAAATTTACCCAGACCGCGTGGGAGAAGTAACCGAGCTGTCACAGTGTCAGTATAATTACTCACCGTACACAGAAACAATTTGCCGATCACATTTTCAGCCGCCGATACGCACAGTAATATTACACACGCCATTTGCATGCACAACATAATCGTTTACACGATATTATTTCATCTTGACACACTAAATCTTGACGAAAAGGCCTATAATTCTGAAGCATTTGTGATGCACGTCGTCGAAGCCATGCCGCTGTACGATGTTCTGTGCGGCAGCAGTGCCATCAGTATTCGTTGGTTCCCATCGCATGCTTACAGAATCGAAGCTATGATGTGGGCCAGGAACCAGTGACTACGGCCTACGTACGGTACCGGACCATGATGTTCCGTGCATGACTACAGTAGCGTATCAGGACGAATTTGGATCGTAGAAAATAACATACATCGGTGGAGAAAGAGAATTTCCGCAAATTAATTCTCAGAACGTGATCTCTCTTCTCTGTGTATGTATTTGTCCGTTGAAATATATATTTTAACGAGATTTTACCGCTCGGACTTGATGATACACCGCAAACAGCGTGTTTCGGCCACTGCACGTGCAGGTTCGTGCGGTCTCTGTATGCATAACAGGGCGCTCGGGCCAGATGTACGCTTTCCTGAGCCGCTTTTACCGACTCGCACTGTCCGCACTGGACTTATCGTCTCGGGAAAAGTGACCTGGTCAGTTTTCCTGGGCGCGTGGGAAGTTTTCCTGGGCAGCAGTTGGCCAGTAAAAGTAAACGCTGGACTCAGGAAAAGTAACCGAGAGGAAAACGTCCTAGGCTGTCCACACTGGACTTAAAATGGGAAAAGTACCCATAGTCTCAGTTAGTTTGACCAAAAAAAGTCCAGTGCGGACAGGACTTAAGAAAAGGATGCCTTTGTCACAGTTCGTTTGAATAGCTTGTGACTTGACTTAATTGGGACTAGGTGACTTGTGATGGACTTGTGATGGACCTGTCATTGACCTGTGATGACTTGTGACTTACCTGCGTACTGGGCTTGCGATGGTCTCAGAGGCCGTTTCTCCCAATTTGACAGCTGTTGTTTCTTGTCCAAAGCCCGGCCGAAGCACATTAGTGTTAACTTGCTCAAACCCTTCACAGAGGGACCACTAGAATCAGTTTCTGATGTCTCTGCCCCTTTCAGGAAGTCCGGCTCAGCTTCCAAAATCTAAAAATCAATAATTTTTTTGACAACAATGAAGCATCTTCAACTAGGTCACACATGTATATTGTTTTTAACGATACTGTTTCTTTTTTTCCAACACCTGACTTTTTTGTTGCATCAATTGGTTGACATATATGATGCCAAAGTTTCCATAACCAATCAGTCACTGAATTTAAATTTTGTTTACATTAAGTATGTCCGTCTTTAAATATATACCTCATCTTTTTTTCGTTAAAATCCACTGTTTTGACAAGTTTAGGCTGTTGAGAGGATGAGCGATGGTCCGCTAGACTATTGATGTACGCCGCACAAACAATCCTTACCTGCTTAGAAAGCGTTTCTAGATCCACCATTCTCTGGATAGCTTCAACTGGTCCTTTCAGGCCAGGGTACGGTTTGGTTAGCGTCTTGAAATCACCGCTTATGCCAAAACCTGTGTCAGACAAAGCAAGATATTCAAATCAGATAAAAATATTAGTATTCTTTTTCTCTTCTGAAGTGCACATATCCAGTAGGATTGGTCACCAAGGTACTGCATAACTATTATAACCCCTGCTCATTGGGCCCATAAAACCTTCCGAAGACCATCTCAGCTCCCTGAGAATACACAGCTCAATGTTGCCATTTTGGTGCAAAGCAGCTAAAACCAACCACACTAAACCATCTCTGCCCTCAAAGGTACTCATTTATTCCTACACTGCAACTTCTTCCATTATTGGAGTTTCCGAAACAGCAGTTTGGCTCAAACTCTGGCTACATCTCTTGCTTTACAATCATTTAGAAGCATGCAAACAGACATACTCTAAATTCTGGCCTCGTATTTTGAAAATGTAATGTTCCTGGATCAGATCATGGGGCATTTTTGAGCCTAGAGTCCCATGATAAGGGGCCTTAGATTGTTTGAAGCTGATGCCGGTGACAAAGTCAGGATTTTGAAAAACTCAATGATCTTACCAAGTTTGAGCACCTGAGAGCTTGAAAGAAATCGAAGGAAGAAAGACGTGATTCGGTCAGCTGCAGTGGCCATCAGCGTTATCATATCAAGAAGGTAAACCCAGTCAACGGTCGCCAGCTGAACAAGAGCAACCCTGTCATGATGAAGGGAATGGGAACAGCCTTTAGCGTGGTCATTTGTGAAACAGCAAGAGCAGATAATGAGATATAAAATCACTGTTGAAGTGGAGGTATTTGTGATGTCATTACAAGTCCATCGCATGTCATCCAGTCCAAGTCTAACTCATAAGCTTTTTAAATTAACTGTGCATTCCTTTGTCACTGTTCATCCCGTTACCTATGATCACATTTCTGAAAGGACCTGTGATTTACTGACCTTATGATTTGGGTGGCAGTGAAAGACGGTGTCCATTCCATGTCTATGCCAACTCGCTGATCATCCTGCATCGACATGTGCCCAAAAGAGAAACAAGTATAACTTGAGAATTTCTATAGAACTATTATATTCAGTAGCTATAATTTTAACCTCCACTTTGATATACTAAAAGAGCATACTATATCTAGTTTTTACACACATAAAGTACACACACATGCAATAAAAGGCTGCACTAACTGTCAGGGACTACACAATATAAAATAACTGTGGTGACTTGTGGTTGCCACCATCAAATTCCACTTCTGCCACCATTGAATCCCACTCCTGCCACCAAATTTAACAAAACATTTACTAGCAAATTACCACCCCATAGGATAGTCACATGATGCAAGATGACTGCTCTGACTAGGTACTAATTATTAACAGGTCAATTTATATGTACATGTACATAACTTGATTAGTATACCTGAAATATATGCCTCTCACACACTTCAAGTTTTTCAATATTGTCGACCATGACAATGCGCTCTAGGGGTATGCTCAGTTGATGGAACAGCACCTTGGGTGTTGCAGCATCATCGTCCCGGTTATCTGGTTCATCAGAGGGAGGAGGGCTGAAAACAAGAACATCAAATAGACCAGCCAATAAAACTTCAACTGATGAGGCTTTCAAACTGATCATCTCACAGAGGGAAGGACACTAGAGATAAAATTTTTGATTTCTAATTTCAATAATGCGACATCTACATGTAATTACCAAGTCTCAATTGCTCTAGCCACATACGCAGGGAGTTTGCTCCGATCAATTCCATAATGCAGCACCCACTTGGCGGCAGCTAGAGGGTCTTTGTACCCTATGAGCAAGTTGATAAACTCCTCCTGCAAGGCCTCGTTGTCTCGGATCGTGTTCTTTATCAGCTCGTCCCAGTTCTCACCGTCTAAGGATTGCTGCGTGTCAAGTTTAAGTTGGAAACACAGAGGCTAAAAGTCAACATCATAATATGAATTTAACATGGATTAAAAATTGGTTCAGACTCGTGAGTATTTCAATGCGAAAGCAAAATTGTGAAGAGTATGGTGAACGATACAAGGAAACTGCGTAAGGTGGAAGACATAATTCATTTAAATTTCGCGTAAAATATGGACCAGCCTTCAATAGTTAAGTAATTTATAAGTAGAAACTGGTGAAATATGGGTTCTAAAACTATTTCCTGGTCCAATACATAACGAGACAAAAGGACTAAAAGTAAAGACCAAGATTTGCAAAATTGTTGGACACCTTTCCAGGAAAGGAAATTGGCAATTTTTTTAACATTCAAGACCTTCAGGGCAGTGTTCTAGCCAGGGTGAAATTATAGCGTTGGGGTAATTTTGGTTCGGCGACTAATGCGAGCGCGGAGCGTGAAGCCCTTACGGCGTGGGGTCCAGGGCCCGCTTAAGGGCCCCAAAAAATTTTGGACTCTAGATGCTCTGTGGTGCAATCTGAGGCCATCCCTGCCACTTTCCCCTGATTTTTTTTAGCAGAAGTGTTTAAAATTATAAGAAATTTTGTTTTATTTGTTTCAATGATTAATACTCTTGCTCCTGTAAAGTTTCTTCTGTTTTCAAATTTTAGATTACGTTTACAATGTATAAGTTGTTCCAAGATCGATGCTTTCTGATGTTTAACCATTTTTAGTAGGCCTAGTTCCTCAATGTTTTATAAAAAATTGGGATTTACTTTGTCAATATTAAGTGTGAGAACAAATCGCATGAACATTTCATATTTCAAGAAGCCTTGTGTTGTGTAGCGCTGCCGTAGTAGCAGTAGTTCCGATTTTAAATTTGTAAATAAAACCATCCGATCGGCAGGGAGAGAAATTGTAAAACCATGGAGGTCTCAGACATAAAAAGTCGTCGGCGATTGCAATTTCAATATGCTACAACACAATGTGAAGGAGAAATCTCATTTTTGTTATGTTAAAAAATATAATTGTAGATAATGACGATGAGAAATAATCACCGGGAATTGCTTTCTATCCCGGCCGCGGCCGGCCCCGGCCGGCCTGGCGTGCGGGCGCGGCGCGGGCCAGCCCACACCGGCTACGCCGGCGAACTACGCGACCAAATTTCCCTCAGCATTTGAGAAAGCTACGCATTCGTGGAGCGCTAAAAAACTTGCTTTGTTGCAATACTTGCTGATTGGTTTTGTCCTAAGAACAAACAGATCCGTTTTTACTACCAAACTTATTGAACTGTTATTATCAGCAACGAGTAGTGTAGTCAAAAATCCAAATTTTCGACAGCGACATTCTTCGAGAAGAATCCTTCACGTGCGGCCATCTTTGGGGACGGATCCATTGATATCGTAGGGGTGCTTAACCTTTCTTTGGACATCGTTTCTCGAATAAATCCTTTACGAAAATTATGTTCCGACGTTGAAGGACTTATTTTCAAACAGTTATATGTTTCGGACTTGATAAAAAGTATTATTTATAATTTTAAAACAGTTGAAATGCTTGTAAATATTGACCTTAGGAAAGCACACCCGATAGCGCAAAATGGTGTGGTCCACAGAGCGCTTTGTACGTGACATGTTGGTGACACGTACGTCCGTACGGAGCGCTGTATCTACGCAGCACAAAACAGCACGTGCTTATTGCTATCATAGCGAATGCGTGTGGCGCAGCATCACGGTAGGGGTATCGTACGGGGTACGGTGGGATCGTTGTTTATTTTTTGCTGTGTCGTACGGCCAGTGCGCAATGCTCAAAGTCGCTGCGCTTGTATACGAATACTAGTATACGAACAAACGGCAGATATTTTTTTTTGGCAACCAAAATTTATAGCGTAGCGGTAGCGTAGCGGTAGCGTAGCGGTAGCGTAGCGGCGCGATTTAAGCGTAGCGCTTATTTCCGAAAGCGTAGCGGGTGCTAGCGCTATTTGATGCCTGGCTAGAACACTGCTTCAGGGTTACCCCTCCCCCCCCCCACATATTGGAGCAAGCAGTGTTGCATTGTAGAGGGCACATGTGGTTGAGGCACACGTCCCACATGCGCAGTGGGTGGAGCTTAGTACATCCGTCTATTGTTGGACAGTAGGTAGCCAATTAATGGCCAATGCGTTACCTCAATGTACTTCCTGTACATCAGGTACCGGACTGCACTCAGATCCTTGTGGTAGTTAGTATTGGGACAGATCGCTGGGTCTAGCTTGAACAGCTTTGTCAGTCGCAAAATCAGTTTGTTGAGGTACTTGGGTCGTAACTTCTCCCTGTTCACACCAGGGGCTTTCATTTTACTGCATAACAGAAAACAGAAGGTGAAAAAGGATGTTTTCATTACATTTCCTCAATTTAAAAAGAAATTGCCTGTGTAAACCACTGGGAAGGGGAGGGGGATGTTGTGTGGTGGGGCGGAGGGGGGGGGGGGGGGTGGGGGGGGGGGGGGGTAGGTGTGGCGACTGGACGCCACCTGGTGATACCATGAGACACAATTAAAGGCTGACAAGAGTGGACACTATGGGTCACAAGGTGGCTCTCTTTCAGTTTAATTGTGTTAGATTTATGCGATTTTGGTGACAAGAACAACCATTTTACTGACATGAACATAACAGAGATGGAGACGATGTCTCTGTCTCAATGTACGTGAGATGAACTAGAGAGTGAATTATCTGTGCCGTGCACAAATATTATTTCACAGTCGACCTATGAAACCTGGTCTGTGGTGTTTTGGGTCAGTTTACATTTTGACCTTACTCGATGATGTCTTGAAGATCGGAATCCCTGGTACAGAAGGAGTCCAGTCTTTGTATCAGCTCCTCCTGTGCTTCCTTGCTGTCCTGGATGTACTTCTCGACGAGATTCACTTTGTCTTGAAAAACTAGCGGCAGGCATATCTGGAAGACACGTGACCAAAAATGGAAATCTACTTTTAAGGAGTCTTGAAACTCAGGTTGGAGTAAATTAAAACAGTTCATGATTGTGACAAATGTTCTTCATTAACAAAATTAATTTTTAAAGAGAAAACCCACCTCCTCAATTTTGAAGCGGTGTTGAAGTTGAAGCTTATAGGCCGCGACCCCAGCCTATGAGACAAAAAACAAGACAATCTATGATTACATTTAGCAAGCAAAGAATGCAACGGAAAAACCAAGGTTTTAAAAGGCTAAATCCGGCCCATTGTGTACACAGATGCATGAAAAGACTAGCAGTGAAGAGCCATTTAGAATCAATTTTGCAGGCCCTTGGACAAGAATTTCTAGGCTTGCCTCATCTACGTGTTCTTTTACCTCTTTGAACTGTTTCCTCGCTAGGAGTATTCTAAGGTGTATGGCCAAGTACTCATTGCCCTTGCACTTGAGATGATACATCTCACATATCATGTCAAACAGGTTGATGGGCGCACTTGTTGCCAGCTGCAAGGCGTGCAACTTCATGTCATCGGTGATAATAGCAGACGGGTCCTGAAATAGGGATACAGTTCACAAATTTCTTAAGTTCACAAAAAGTTTAAAAGTTTGCAGGTTTGTGTTACACCAGCAAGATATTCTCTCATTCCTTTTGTCCTAATGCTTCTTAAATTCCAAAGATTGTCAGAAAATATAGAGATTATAAATTTCACCATTTTTGCCTTATTTTACGTATTGTCCGTTCACTGCTAGTACGGATACCTACTTCGGGTAGCACATGGCTGTTTTTCTGGACCCACTGCAAAAACTCTTTCAAAGTTGATGCCTTCATGCTACGCAAATCTTGGCTCTTGTCCAACAGGTGAAGGACAAAGGCATGACGCTGACGAGGTTCCACTGAACAAAAAGCTCTCTCTGTTCAGTAAGAAAACATTCATGACAAATTAAAAATTTGGAAAAACAATGTAGTTTCATTGGCCTTTTGGGTTTTTTTTTTTTCAATAAAGTTTATGGTCTCCTGCGGCTTCCTATAACACATGGCTATAGGAGGTGGCTACAACCACCTTTATAGGTGCATGTGTATTCTCAAGCCACAGCCTTGCAATTTGCAAGTATGGACATGGTCTTACCTAATTTGTGTTGCACCTCCTGTGTTGCCTGATCCCGCCATGAATCCTCAATCTCACACAGGCACCTGTCCCACTCAAGCGGTGCTGATGAATTGCCAGAAGGGTTGGTTTCTGGATGCTGCATAGCTGTTGAATATCCAGCAGGGAGTCACTTTAGTTGTAAACACTAGGCTCTGCAGTAGGGGAGAAGGGCGGATACCAGACTTTACCCCTCCCCAATGATTCCCCGCCTTAGTGATAATTTATCGCAGAAATCCGGAATTCAAAGGTATCTCTGAATTCTGGATTTCTGTGATATATTATCACGGTAACGCGGTATCGAGGTAGGGATTATCTTTGAATTCCGGAGTTCTGTGATAAGTTATCACGGTAACGCAGTATCAAGGAAGGAATTATCTCTGAATTCAGGATTTCTGTGATAAATTATCACGGTAACGCGGTATCGAGGAATACGTATCTTTGAATTCTGGATTTCTGTGATAAATTATCACAGTAACGCGGTATCGAGGAATACGTATCTTTGAATTCTGGATTTCTCTGATAAATTATCACAGTAACGCGGTATCGAGGAAGGATATATCTTTGAATTCCAGATTTCTGTGATAAATTATCACAGTAACGCGGTATCGAGGAAGGATTTATCTTTGAATTATGGATTTCTGCGATAAATTATCACAGTAACGCAGTGTCGAGGAAGGATTTATCTTTGAATTCCAGATTTCTGCGATAAATTATCACAGTAACGCGGTATCGAGGAAGGATTTATCTTTGAATTCCAGATTTCTGTGATAAATTATCACAGTAACGCGGCATCACGGAAGGCAATTCAAGCTTCCGTACATTAGACTAATGGGTGGCTAGACTTTTAGTGATTGTGAAGTAGTTTTTGTAGAGAACAAAATCAATATGAAAACCTACATTCTGGCCAAAAATGAAAGACTTTAATGTTAAAAACAATTTACCTTTTGGCTGGTGACTGCAGGTTGAGCGGTGACGTCCGTACCTATCGACATTATGTTGAAATGACACAGAAATTATGTCACTGAATTGTGAAAGATTTTCTGGAAATTTCCAAAGCTAAATTTGGTAGTGACATGTATATAAGTTACTCACACGTGAGGCTGACGTGCGTATTATAAGTTATACTAAGCTATACAACCCGAGGACAATAGGCAGTCAAGGTCGGTTACCTTGCATGCCTTGCATATTTTTTTAACAGTCATGATGAGTCATGACAGTATCATATGTGTGTCGCTCCAAAATCACCTTTGCAAACTCGGGCAATCTTCTAATTGTACTGATCCTAATGTTTTAAATTTTGAGCAGTATTTTGGAAAAAAAATGCCACTTTCTTACATGATAAAAGTGATATTCCAGTTGCAATTTTGCAAATCGACACAAAATAGACACACTCAATCCAGAATGATCCACGACACATGTCGACGATCGATCCACGACACGTGCGCAAGTATGTGTTGGATGGACTAGACTTGCTGCATGGTCGCCGGCCGTCGTCGTTTTTTTTTTTTTACTAAATCGAAATCTTTGAATTCCGGATTTCTGCGATAAATTATCACAGTAATGTGGTGTCGAGGAAGGATTTATCTTTGAATTCAGGATTTCTGCGATAAATTATCACAGTAACGCGGTATCGAGGAAGGATTTATCTTTGAATTCTGGATATCTGTGATAAATTATCACGGTAACGCGGTATCGCGGAAGGCAATTCAAGCTTCCGTACATTAGGCTAATGGGTGGCTAGACTTTTAGTGATTGTGTAGTAGTTTTTATAGAGAACAAAATCAATATGAAAACCTACATTATTGCCAAAAATGCCAGACTTTAATGTTAAAAACAATTTACCTTTTGGCTGGTGACTGCAGGTTGAGCGGTGACGTCTGTACCTATCGACATTATGTTGAAACATGGAGGAATAAAATTCCTCCATGGTTGAAATGACACAGAAATAATGTCACTGAATTGTGAAAGATTTTCTGGAAATTTCCAAAGCTAAATTTGGTAGTGACATGTATATAAGTTACTCACACGTGAGGCTGACGTGCGTATTATAAGTTATACTAAGCTATACAACCTGAGGACAATAGGCAGTCAAGGTCGGTTACCTTGCATGCCTTGCATATTTTTTTAACAGTCATGACAGTATCTAGCCCCATAAATGTGGCCTATTTACTGGACTGCCTCCGTAAACATAGGCCACACATCCACATGTACAAAAATCGTGTTGACTTTGCCAAATTTTGATTTTCACATCTAGGCTTAGTTTGTAGGATTTTTTTGCTTTAGAAGCATACTCACCCTCTTTATAGGCTAATCAGAAAGTGCTGCCTTTTTCAGATGTTTATTTTTCGTGAAATTTCCAGATTCATTTTTACACGTTCATGACGTTTGCGTATCAAAATTTCAACATGAAATTTCACAAAATTAGACATCTGAAAAAGGCAGCACTTTCTGACTAGCCTATAAAGAGGGTGGGTATGCTTCTAAAGCAAAAAAATCCTACAAACTAAGCCTAAATGTGAAAATCAAAATTTGGCAAAGTCGACACGATTTTTTTTACATGTGGATGTGTGGCCTATGTTTACGGAGGCAGTCCAGTAAATAGGCCACATTTATGGGGCTAGACAGTATCATATGTGTGTCGCTCCAAAATGACCTTTGCAACCTCTTACTTACTTACTTACCTAGGTTGATGGGAATAGAATAGGCTTAGCCTTTGTGACCCCATATCCAATTTCATTCCAGTAGGCATCAAGATGGTTCTTAAACAGGTTTGTTGAGGTTGCATTCACCACATGTGATGGGAGGTTGTTCCATTCAGAAATAACTCGGATGGAAAAGAAGTTTTTTCTGCAGTTCAACCCTTTCTTTAATCCTGGTTTGTAGAGCTTTAGGTTGTAACCTCTGACTTGGAATGGGTTGTCGTGTCTCTGGAAGAGCTTGCTCTCCTCAATGCCTTCCAAGCCGTTTAGGATCTTATAAACCTCGATCAGGTCACCTCGTTGTCTTCTTGCTTCCAAACTGTACAGGTCCAACTCCAATAATCTCTCTGTCATTGTCTGTATAAGTTTTGTTTTTCAAGCTTGGAATGATCTTGGTTGCCCTACGCTGTACCTTTTCTAACACCGTCACATCTTTCTTGAGACTTTGGCTCCATGCTTGGATACAATATTCAAGGTGTGGACGAATGTATGTCTTGTAGAGGGTGGTGAAGCATTTTTTGTCGTAGTGTGTGAATGTCCTCTTGATTATTCTTACTCTTAGATTAGCCATTGCCTTTGCTGCTGTTGCACACTGCTTGCTTGGTGGTCTTGCAGTCCTGTTATAACCTCCGGCAATCTTCTCCTAATTGTACTGATCCTAATGTTTTAAATTTTGAGCAGTATTTTGGGAGAAAATGGCACTTTCTTACATGATAAAAGTGATATTCCAGTTGCAATTTTGCGAATCGACACGAAATACACACACTCAATCCAGAATGATCCACGACACATGTCGACGATCGATCCACGACACGTGCGCACGTGCCCCAACTATGGTATCGGTCCCAACTATAGTTGGGACGGTCCTAACTGTTGTTCCATAGTTGGGCTGGCCCAACTATTGTTGGGAGTCATCAAGGGGGCCCAACTATAGTTGGGAGTCATGGGGGCCCATCTATAGTTGGGCCACTCCAATCTTTTTATTTTGCGGCGTCCCAACTGTAGTTTACATTGATATACAACTATAAAACATTCCCTACAGCTCTGATACACGTCTGGCTATGAAGCCCGGGCTTCACATCTGACTTGACTTGGGACCAATGAAATTATCTATGGGTGGGGCCCATCTATAGTTGGGCCACTGCAATATTTTTATTGTGCGGTCCCAACTATAGTTTACATTGATGTACGACTATAAAACATTCCCTACAGCTCTGTTACATTAGCTTTGACATTAGCTATGGGTGGGGCCCTATAGTTGGCCGGCCACGCCAATCTTTGAATTTTGCAAAATGTTGCTGGACTAAAAAAAACCAGCTGGACAACTCATCCAATTAGGCAGTGCCACGTGGCAGGCCGGCCCTGTATGCAACACACACATGCACGACGAATACACGGTGCCAGCATGCACCATGGAACTCCAGTCCTAGCTATAGTTGGGCCAACCCAACTATCGCACTAATTGGGACAGTCCCAACTCCCCAACTATAGTTGGGCCGACCCAACTGCCGCACTATAGTTGGGACAGTCCCAACTATAGTTGGGACTGATGCAATAGTTGGGGCGTAACACACGTACGTGTTGGATGGACTAGACTTGCTGCATGGTCGCCGGCCGTCGTCGTTTTTTTTTTTACTTAATCTACGTACACATTATTATGGTGTTCTAAAAAGGACCAGTTCCGACCGTGATTCCATTTCCAAACCTCACAAAAAGCGAACCGCGACGTTCAAGCAGTGAACCAAGGCGTTTGAAACAATGAATGGGGGCAAAAGAACCACGATGTATACAAAAATAAATCACCACATTTGAAAACACATCTAAAACGGCAAGTCGTCTTTATAGAACACCGACGAGTAGGGATTGTACATGCAGAAAAAACTAAAGGATACAAGATGATCTTGCAAAATAGAGTCAAGCAAAAGAAGATTTCAAAAAAGTGCCCCAAAAATTCCCTAAAGGCAGAAAAAATCCCAAGTTTGGGAAAAAATCCCAAGATCAGAAAAAGTATCAGGAAAAACGTCCCACGACCGCGTCGGAAAGTAGTCGCAATTTTTTTTTATCACACAACTACCACAACAAAACAAGAACTCTTACACCACACACCTGAAATGGCAAAATTTAAACTTTTATTATTTTATGATTGAAAACAATACCATTACAATAACTGACGTGATTCATAAATGTTCATCATCAAGATACAATTTCCACTGATCGATTCCAGTTACATCCCACAAAGAATTCATGTACAATATACAGATGTGTCATTTCCACAGCATAGTTTACATAAGGCTTTGTTATTTACAGGTTAAGGTTCATTAGGGCCTATACAATGAATGTCTGTGGATTTTTTTTTTTTTTAAATCCGGGCAATCTAGACGAGCAGCCTGAATGTTCTTTTACATTCTGCAAGTTGTTACTTTTATTACATCCAGAAGATTTTTTTTTCTCGCTGCCTTTACTTTAGCTAATTTTAAGTCTTTTTTATGAAAAAGCCTGCTTGCCTTCTCAACAACTTCTAGGCAAAATCCCTCTTAAAAATCAAAGTCGTATCACAGAACATTTCTGGTACAAAAAATAATTAACAGGGTTTTTTTCAGCCGTCTTACAAACTTTATGTCCACTATCTTCATTATTACAGGAGGCTAAATCCACTTGAACACTACAACATTCAAGATGTCCATTCTAAAAACGATTTTTCGTTCTTCAAGCAATACATGTATCCCCAGCCCTTGAAGAGAATTTGACTTAACAAAAATTCCAAATTTTCATGTTCTTTTTTCCTGAGTCTAAGCCTAGCAAATTTGAAGTCGAACGCATCTACCTTAACGAATTTGTTGATTCCAGGTCCGAATCGAATAGAATCAATTTCAAAGTTGGAATCGGGCTTGTTATTCCCCTTTGTTGAGAAATCGATTGGAGTAGTAACAATTCAATTCTCCCAAGAAATGTTTCCAGACACTTTTTACGTCAGCAAATTGTATGTCACTCGACATGTCCATATTTGTGGCAAATTATCATTTTTACAAGATATATCTCCTTTTTGTTTTAAATGTTTAAACTGTTGTTCGGTAGTGAAATTGTTGAGGTCATTCTTCATGGCTATTTTTGATGGATAGAAATGGATTCGATTCTGAATGGAATCGTGACTCCTGTATGGAATCGGAATTGAACAAAAAATTTCAGAATCGCCAAAGCCTATTAAAAACATGGGCAGAGAAAGAAAACACTTAGTTTTGCGTGAAAATTAACAATAAAGTGCCTTTTTTTAAATACAGTTGGGTGTGGTTATTTATCATCCATGTTCGTGTTTGACTTGCTGTAAAAAAAAAAAAAACATATTTGTCATTTCACTGGAGTCTACTTGTCCAACTTGGATAATAATTCTAAAACACTAAGCTTTAACTTTTAGATAACAAACTTTTTCGATGTTTTGTTCAGCAGAGAAGAATTCAATAACCATAGGTACCAGACTTGCTGTGTGGGCCACTGATCTACAAGTATTAAATTTGCTGAGCTTAAGTACTAGACATGTCCAATTGTTAATGCCACTTTCCAAATTCCAAGGAGTTTCAGTAAATGAAATTCAGTAATGGCATGAAGGGCATATAGGAAGATTTGCATTTATCCCCAAAATAGCCTACCAAATTATCAAAAAGCTCATTTGGATTAAAGATCGTACTGGTGCTAAATAGGCCCGTGGAATTTCTCCGTCTGACTTGATGTCATTTCGAAGAAATCAAGAAATGTAGGCAATTTCCAATGATCAGTCAATTGACTGGTTCTTGGAAATGCAATGGACACAATCAGGTTTGTTTTGTGATCAAAAAGTTTGCCACATTTTTTTCAATGTTTTCTCAAAAAGTGTAATATTCAATGAGCTAAAACTTCAACAAGTAAGGTTTTGAACCTCTTCTTTGGATTTTAAGTGGTGTTTTCATTGGAAACGAACAAAATGCATGAAATGCAAATGATCCTATTTGCCTTTCAATTGGGATGGACAATCAAAGAACAGGAGTAATTGACAAAATATGTATGAGTTATGTAAATCAGCTAAGAAAGGCTTCAATGCAATACAACATGTCAAAACCCAACAACCGCTGAAGCTCAATGTTCCAACACCTGATTCACATTTTCGTTAAAACATACAGGTTGTGTCCATTCATCAAGTTATGCACCGAGCTTTCAGACGTTATATGGTGTCACATTTTTGGTATATATCTACTCATTGCACTACTGGTATATGTATTTCAAACAAATGCTACAAAAAAATCATAAATAATACATTGTGTTATACAAATCTCTGTAACCACCAATTTTGCATTGGTAATAGAATATTTATTGCAAAGTATTACTTACAAAAAAATAAGTAAAAACAAATTTATCTTAAAAACTTGTAGCTTAGAACAACACTGTGGAATTGCAACGGCAAATAAACTTGATTGTAAATCCTTCGTAAAAAAAAGTTTGTCGCTTTTCCATAAAAAGTAAGCTGGTTTCAACTCTACCTATAAAATGTTATTTAGCCAGATTCATTGCTACATGAAAATTAAAAAACTGGTACAAAAAGCAACATTGGGTAAAACTGCTGATGTAATGAACATACATCACAGCCTGTAGTAAAATCTCGTAGTAAAAATATATAAGAGATGCTTTGAAGTTTTCAAGGTAAAACAGCCTGGTGAGTTAAAAACTTAATATTTGCCTCGTGAAAAAAGGAAATTGTATTCCAACTGCATCCGTTCAAAACAGAAAAGAACTCTAAATGTTTTAAAGAAGCTTACACTTAACTATGCAACAAAGCAACATGTTGAGACGTGTTAGCTTCTGGGATAAGCATGTATTGGACTGTTTGAAACATTATTCAGGTTCCTCTTTCAATCTGAATGATCTCTATCAGCCAGCGCTTCAGCTAAAAAAAAAACACTTCTGTAATGTCATGTAAGACCTTTAAATGACTTGGGCTTTTTCCAAATTACTTGAATTTTCAAAAACAACAAAATGTCTGAGGACAACGTAACAGTGCCATTATTTGATGTAAGTGCAGTGATTTTTGTGTCAACTTCTGTTAAAAAAATGTGGCGTTGAAAGGAGAGGTCTCAATGACACCCTTTTTGAGACCCAGATTACCAATGAATTCCTTTTTTTTCATAGATGTAAAATGTACTTTAACCTTAAAACAACCAAACTGTTTCATAAGTTCAAAGCAAAAAAAAAAAGCATTGAGAGTCTTTCCCCACTCTCACGTTAGACTTGACTCAAATTGAGTGTGTAGCATGGGTGGTGCGGTGCGTTAAATGCTCGCTTCTCACCGCGGTGGCCCGGGTTCGATTCCCGACTCGGGTCATATGCGAGTAAAGTTGTTCATTGATTCTCCCCTTTGCAACGAGGGTTTTTCTCTGGGTTCTCCAGTTTTCCTCCTGCCCGAAAATGAATACTTTTGATCTGACTGTGCTCCGTGGTAAGACATGGGTTGTGCGGCGGCTGCCTAAGGCGCCTTCACATGCCTATGACTCGACCATGTTGTAGCTGCGTCCTTTGCAATTCAGCTTCTGCTGCGAGTAAGGATGATTAGCCCCCAAATTTCTTCATTTACCACAAAATTGCATGAGGTCTTGAACAAAGGTCCGTACTACATGGCAGTGTTCTCTTGACTCTATGAGCTCTCTGTCTTCCATCGTTTCAGCTTGCCCACCAGATTGCTCCTGGAGGACAGTAGCTTGCTCTTGGAGGAGCGGGACGAACTCTTGTCCGCCTCCTCCATCTTCTCAAACTCCGCCTTGAAATCTTCGGCCTTGAAGTCTCGCGGGAGGGTGGAGGACTTCTTGGCTGCACCTAGGAATGAGGTACAGGTAAAATGAATCCCCCAGATTCTCGGTTCCAAATCTCGAGACGATTTCTGCCTTCGGAAAAAAATTGAGACTTTGCGAAGATATTATGCACCAGTTTGATAGTCAGCTGGTAGCAATGTTATCATTCGCAGCTATTTCCTCAGCAGTGGGTGTAACTCGTAATATCACTAATGAATGAAAACGTTCCAAACTTCACAATCCACCCGTTCGTGACTTCAACCAAATCTGGATACTTCAATAACACAACAAGCATACATGAGCAATTCACCTTGTGCATCATGGGATAAAGTCGACATCCATTTGTAGTCGAAACAGTTTTCATTTCGTAATAAGAGACAAAGTCTTGGCCATTTTATTAGGTTTATTAAATTGACTCAAGTGAAGTTGGAATTTTTCCTGCATATTTGTAGGAACTCAACCCTTAAGTTGGAAAGTGCAATGGAAACTGAATCCCTTCTATTCAGGCATGCAACTTTTCCTCGGATCCGCTGATTTATTTCCTCGGTTTTTTTCTTCTCATGAATGCCATCACAAATTCAAAAACACTGTGCAAAGTCTGTGTGATTTGGAATTTCCTCCTTTTTTTTCTGTCTATTCTAAGTAAAGTGAGCTGTTTTCAATTAATCCCTTTGTCTAGCTTACTAGATATGCTGAGTAGCGAGCCGTCTCTCTCCTTCGATTCTTTGCCAGCCTTCCGGTTCTTCATGCTGGTCAGGCGTTTGAAGCCGGACTTCTTGCCGCTGCCTCCGACTACGCTGCTCACGGCTGCCTTGACGTTGGGCAGGTACTGAGACACAGCAGACTACAGAGTCATAACAAAATTACATCAAGAAAAACATTCTAAATTATCATCGGCTTCAACTAGAAATAAAAGGGATGCAAGAGGACTCTGACGTTTGTGCCTGAAATTTGAGGTATAAAGGAAAATGCGCGCTCACCTTGTCTTTAAGAACGTGAGCAGCGTGGCTTGAGCATGAAACAAACGCAGTAAAAACTAATACTTGACCTATAAATTACTCATTATCACCTATAGAGCCATAATGCACACAAAAGCCAATGGTTCCCAGCATTTCACTAAAACAAAATTCCCTGATATTTCCACTAGAAACTTCCATGATTCCATGAGAAATACTTTCACTTTAGCAAGGTTGCTGCGAAGTCAAGAGGTGGTCGCAGCAAAGCAACTAAGATACTGAAAATACCCAGGCAACTTGTTGACGAGCGATGGCCTCCTTTCATCCCTTAGAGTTATCCTTCCCTTCTTGGTCACTGTCAAGTTCCTTGAGTTTTCCCAGATTTTTGTAGGTTTTCCCTGACTGGAAAAATGGAAATTCTTTCCCCAAGGTTTTCCCAGATTTGCAGAGTGGCTAGGAAGCCTGAGCCAATAGTGCTCAGTATTAAGATGACCATGTACCTCATCTCTCTCCCTCAAGGTGAACCTGCCGGGTGTCTTCCACTGATTCTGCACATCAAAGACCCTCTCTGTGTCCTCCAGGACGCGGCTTGTAACTTTCTCCTGGATGTCCTTCTTCTCCGAGCCCTTCCAGTCCTTGTAGACCTCTTCCGTCAGGACATAGTTGCTGGGGTCTGCGTCCAGCCGGTGGGCTTTGGCCATCGCCTGAAATTGTGAGCAAAAGTACAAGGTATAGATTTAAGAGTCCAAGTAGTAATTACGCAATCAATGGTCCTACAAGTCATCATAAGTAATCACAAGTAATCACAAGTAATCACAAGTCATCACAAGTCATCACAAGTCATCATAAGTAATCACAAGTAATCACAAGTCATCACAAGTCATCACAAGTAATCACAAGTCATCATAAATCATCACAAGTCATCACAAGTAATCACAAGTAATCACAAGTCATCACAAGTCAATCACAAGCCATCACAAGTCATCACAAGTCATCATAAGTAATCACAAGTCATCACAAGTCATTATAAGTAATCACAAATCATCACAAGTCATCACAAGTCATCACAAGTCATCACATGTAATCACATGTAATCACAACCGGTGTCATAGGCAAAGGGGGACCTGGGGGGCACGAGTCCCCCAGGTGTCCCTCACAAAAAAAAAAAAAATTTGCCCATAGCCTACAAAGTGTCTTTTTTATAGTAAACTAACCAAAAGGGGAATGTAGACGAATAGTAACTCGATGTTAATTCCCTTCACCCTACAGATTTATGGAACACGTATAAATAAAGAGATAAAAAGGAGCAATTAAAACAGCGCCCCCTAGTGTCAACTGAGGTCCAACCCCCAACCCCCAACCCCCACCGAGCTCAAATTCCTATAAAAAAAAATCAGAATATCAAAGTTTAAAGCACATTTTATTACCTGAGCTATGATATCCTGTGCTGTGCTGGCGACCAACGCTCTGAATACAGTGTAGGGTTGCTCCTGGGACACATTGTAAACCCAGACCAGAAAGGTCTTTTCAGCGCTGCTTGCGTCCAGGGCTGCACATTCGTCTGAGCGATGTCTCTGTATTCGAACAAAAAGATTATTCAATGAGAGTCAGATGACTGAGAAATAAAGGTTCTTATCACCTCTAACACCTCCGAGAGAATGGCAATTAGACCAACAGATTCCCATGGTTCAATTTTGTGGGGAAAAGTCAGTAGGATATATATTTTGCGATTTTTTTTTTTTTTTTTTTTTTTTTTTTGTGAGAAAAATTAAGCAGGAGGCTGGAACTTGCGCAAGTTTTCAACAGAGGTGAGATGCATTCCAAGAGAAGAGAAACTTCAATCAGTTTGAAAAGTTTGAAAGAAATCATTAAGATTGTGTCTCTTCGGAAAACAATGTTGTCTCATCTTGAGGAAAATGGCAGAGCAAAATTGAAAGAGCTGAAATTGTAAAGCTGGAATTGCCAAAATTAAATAAAATTTGTGTACATGGTTAGTTTAGGTGAAAGAACACCACATCTGAAGCAACATTTTGCAAATACACAGCAATGTTAGATGCGTGACCTGATAAAAGGAAAATATTAATCAAAACCTAACTTTTAAACTTTTAAATTTTTGGGTCTGCATGCGCCCGCCCATCCTCCATCAGGTCACATGTTGCAAAATGTATCGATTTTGTAGCACAATATTGTTAGTTGATAACAACTTTTCACACTGAAAATAAGGGGTTAAATATGCAATAATTCTAAATATCAGAAATGGTCATCGGTAGATTGATTTATGGTGAATGACTGAGTTGAGCTGTTGATGGTGTGCAGGAAAAGCGGAGGATTTGATGGAGTATCAATGGCAGGTCGGTAGAGGGTAGATGGGTATGATTCTAGAAAAATTTGACTACTGGCTGGAATTTTTATTTTACATTTGCATGCATTTCAGTAAGCAGAGTTTCAAATTGGGCAACATTACCAACTCTTAAAGTTGTTATCATATCCTAAACAACTGAATTATACAGTAACTGCATCAAGTAGAATTATCACAACTTGTGTGTCAAAATTGGGGGGGGGGGATATGTCGTTTGTCAAATGTTGAATAAGACGGTTTGTCTGACAACATGGCTGGTTTACAACGGCTAGACCAGTACATGAGCTTGTTCTAAAGACTACTAGTATCACTGAATGTAGAAACTATTTGCCGCCGGATCTTGGGATCCAATTCACTATCGAAGTGATTACATAAGTCCTGCCAAAACCACTCACTATGGACTCATGTATTTTCTGAGTATTTTTGTGTTGTTTAGTTAGAAAAGAATCTGTAGGTGTTACTGTTATTTGTATGATTCGTGATATGCATTTATTGACCAATTTTCTGAATGGTTTACTTCGCTTTGTGTGGCATGATCCGTCACCAGGATTACGTAACACTTCTCGCTAACTATTACGTGACACTTCGATAATGAATAGAGGTCACGGTGCGCAATCGCGGATTTTTTTCTCCCTTCTCCTGTCCTAAAACTTGCATTGTCAAGAATACTGGAAAGATCATGAAGAGGGAAACATTGACAGACTTAACGAGTTGCCCTTGAATTTTTTAACACCCAAGCAAACAGTTAGTTACTTGAATCACAGGAGTTAAAGAATAAAGGCAATCAGTGGTCAAGAAAAAAATTAACGATCATGATGATGATATATAAAAGAAACATCATGGATAATATTAAACGAATCACAAATAGAAGGCTTAGAATTTTAAAAAAAAATATTTTTACGGTAGGATTTCCATCGAACTACTGCTGCTGACGGTAAAGTCAAAGTTGCCTATTTGGTTCACTGACTTGAAGAAAAAAAAATCATGAACCTGCCAATCCAGACGTTACAATCAATTTGGGTATCATTCTCGTTCTCAAAACAAATGAAAAGTGCAAAAAAAGTCATTTGAGATTTTTTGCTACCAGAACCTGTAGGAAATTGAGAGAGAATTGCACAAGTTATGAATTCAATTTGCAATCAATAAAAGCAACATTAGTAAAAATGCTGGTATGAGCGAATATCTTTTCTACTTTTTTTCCGCATTAAGAAAAAAAATGAACACAAAAATGAAATGCGGTTAAGCATGCGGTGATGTTGGTTAGTGCCACGCGGATCGTCGGGAGAGTGTACCCTGTGGTTCCTGGGGAACCTCGGTGATCGCAGACTAGACGTCTTGAGGTGATTGAGATGATTGAGGTGATTGAGGTGGCTGGGTGAGTGGTGACCTGGTGGGTAGTGACTCGGTGAGTGGTGACAGTAAGACGGGTCCTGCTGCAGCTGTGACAGACGGTGGGAGGAAGCGTTGTCAAATTAGGGGTGCTAATGAGGTCCGTGCGTGAACAAGAGAGGGCACTTTCAAACACTTTCCAGAGCCTAGTGGAGAGCCCATTACAGCACGGATCACCCATGACTACAGTTTTTTCTGAATGTGCACAAAGCCATAGCATCTTGGCGTGAGTGTCTTGGCATGAGTGTCTAGGCATGAGAGTCTTCGCGTCAGCGTCTTCGCATAAGAATCAGGTTTTCAGCAACGTGTTGGAATGGCTCTCAGAGTGGTCTCCCCAAACTGTCTCTTTCTTACTGTTGAGCATGAACTTGTGCACGAAGCCCATAGCATTGTGATATAACCAGGTAGTTTTTCTGAGCCACATACGTATACCGTACCCTTACAGGGCTGCCAACTTTGAGTAATAGCTGAGAGTGAGAATTTGGTGTTAGAGCTCGATCAGAACTAATGCGAGCGCTAAGCGCGAAGCGGGCCCCCACAAATTTTGGATTCTGGACACTCTGTGGTGTGATCTGAGGCAATTTATGACCACCTTAACCAATATTTTTTTAAGCAAAAGATCATCATTTAAACATCATTTTGGAGGTTTTTTTAAGCGTGAGAAATCCTGTGTGGGCGTGACAGCGTGAGAATAATGTGCGAGTCTCACGCTCAATGCGTGAGAGTTGGAAGGCCTGCCCTTGCCATTTCTAATGGTGCTTGTTAAAGAGGACACTGGTGCTTGTGCATAAAGTCCACTACGGGTAACGTGAGTGTAAGCCAGTGACTGTTGAACCCCCGAGGAAAAAAGCTAAGGTTTCCAAAACATCCAGACTGGATTGAACTAACCTCTGTGATCTGTTTGAGGATGAACCTTCCCTTCCCAGACCAGCCAGCCTGTACCTCCAGGATCCTCTCGTCCATCTCTAAGGTGCGTTCCTCGGACCGGCTCTCCAGCTTGGATTCCCCTGGGTACTCCTCCCAATTCTCTTGCACGTCCTCGATCAATGCGTACAGAGCGATATCCTCCAAGGGCTTTTCGGCCCACCCTAGAGCCTTCACAATAAAGAAAAATTTAAAAATCAAAAATTGGAAGACAGGACTTGAATAAACTTGGATATATTGTTACTTGTCGTGAGAAATTAAGAAGAGTTCATAATTGTAAAGATGCTACAGCAGTTACAAAACATTCCAACTGCACTTGAGGAGATACCATTCGGAGTGCAAAAGGCAAACTCAAAACTGAATTCTTTCCTCAAAGTTAGTGAAGTCTGTCAAGAGCCAGCGTGGCCAATCAGGCCAGGGTTTATCACCGGTTTCAGTGGCATGAAACAATGGAGAATATTTCTACCCCCCCCTAGATTGGTTGCCAGTCCATCACAGGTTACTCCCTAGCTAATGCCAGTACCCATTTATACTCCTGGGTGGAGAGAGGCAAGTGAAGGTGAAGTGGCTTGCCCAAGGACACAACAAATGCCTAGCAGCTGGATTCGAAACCCTGACACTCTGATAACGAGCTCTAACCACTAGACCACATTCCCTCGAAAAAACGACCTTTTTTTCCATTTTAGTTGAACAATGATAATGTATAAGGTTAAGATTTTTACCTGGGCAATGACTTCATGGACTTTTGTTTCTTGCGTTGCTTTGAGTGTTGTGCTTTGGTCGTGGAGTATAATGCCGTATATGATGACAGGATGAGCCTCCCGTTTGACCTCAGCCCCATCAACAACCTGTAACGGTAAAAAAAAATTTACCATCTGAAATCTTGATTTTTTTCGGCAACTTTGCTGTCGCCTAAAAGCAGGTTGTATTAAATTCCCCTGTAATATCTTAAGTGGTCATTCTGAAGCTGTAAACTGATTACTGCACTGAGATTCATTGCTTATGATTGCTACAGAAACTGTCCCAGAAGATTTGATGGAGATTGTAGCGACATTTGTTGCAAGTGTTTTCCCTGCATCAATGTACAAGTAAATAAATTAATTGGATTTTGAGTGGTATTAATCGGAAACAAACAAAATGCATCAAAAGCAATTGATCCTATATGCCTTTAACATCCAACTACTGAAGTTGGTAGGTCAAGCACTGTCAGATGTCATGGAATCCACAAGCCCACTGTCCTATCAGATTCAAACTCTATTCTTTAGAAGTGAAATGCTTCATTCCAGTTGTCCGTCCTTGCCTTCATGACGAAGAGAAGGAATTTGTCTTACCTCGATGAATTCCATCTTGGAGCTGCGCTCTCGGCCGATGTGATAGTAGACCATGTTGGATAGCATCTGGCGCTTCTGCTGAGCCTCCAGGAGTTTGGTCTTGTCCGACATGTCCTTCATGTCCTCCAGGCGAGTGAAGACAAACAGTGAGGCCAGCTCTAAAGGGACATTTTGAGGCGAGCGGAGCCGGACGTGCCGAAAACCTGGAAACATGGGAAGAGGAAACGGTACAGTTCACGGCAAAATCAACCTCGGACAACTTTGCAACATCCAACTGCAGGGTTCCCAGCATTTTATGAAAAAAAAATTCTCTGAGTTTTCCCTGATATTTCCCTGAGAAATTTCCAAAATTCCATGAGCAATGTTTTCACTTTAACGAGGTTGCTGGAAAGTCAAGAGGTGGTTGCAGCAAAGCAACTAAGACACTGATAATATTCACACTGCATAAACACTAAAAAGCCACCACAGCCAGTCAGTCGATGGACACAACCGGGACACATGGCACAAGACACACATTCCCCAAACTGGCAAAACCTTTCCCCTTTTGGGCCACTGTCAATTTCCCTGCATTTAATCCAATTTTTTGTGTTTTTCCCCAAACTTTACCGCGTTTTCCCTGACTGGAAAAATAGAAACTCATTGTCAAGGTTTTCCCTGATTTCCAGAGCAGCTGGGAACCTTGGACTGAGGAAGTGGAATACAGACACATGTGCTAATGTGCCGAGGCCGGCTTTCCCAATTTAGTCCAAAGTTTGTTAAATTTTTTTTTTTTTTTTAATGAATACTAACAAAGTGCTCAAATCCTTGAGTCTAACTTCAAGTGCTAAGGCGAACATGGAACACAGCTAGAATTGGTACAATTCAGTTTTCGAGCAATTTCTGGAACGTACATTGTAACAGCCGAGTTTAAGGTATACCGCACACCATTTGAGACAGAGGGGTCCCCCAAGTGTCCTTATACCCTATAAATATCACAAAATCCCCCTAAATATCACAAAAGAGATCCTGAGGTTCCAGGAACACAATGACCAAAACAAAAGAAGGGGGGGCCTCTCCGTTGCATATTTTGCTTCAAATAGTTTTAGGTGTTGACTCTGTAAGAAATCAGGAAGCTCCAACGAAAAAATAATACCAAGGGAGTCTAGGCTAATGTCAAATGGCAAATAATGTTAGAAGATCCATGTGGAACACTTGTATTACATTAAGATGCCGAAAATCAAAAACCCACTGACCTGTCTTGAGACACTTGAGGGGAACTTGCCGCTGGGCCACGGTGCTCCCCCCGCTGTCCACCACGCTCAGCCTCAGGAATGCAATCTCGTTGTAGTAGATTTGGAATGTGAAAGTCTCGTCCCAGATGGGGTTGACGGCGTTGCGGGAGACGGGCTTGGTCTTCCACTTGGCGCAGTCGGCCGGGATGCCGATGGTCTCGATCTCGATGCTGTAGGAGGAGTTGGGGCTGGTGGTGGACAGGAACTGGCCCGAGACAATCTGGGGAGGAGGGGGACATCACAATTTGTTAGCTTAGTACATTATCCTTAACAGGGGTGTGAGTGACCACTGATAAAAATAGCTGAAAACAGATGGAAAAAGGTGTAAAAAAGCCGAACTTAGGAAATCTCCTATACTTTTGTACACAGCAAGTGAGGAAAAAAGCTGAAAAAAGCTGAAATCCAACACACAAAAAAGCGGAAATCAACTTTAAAGCTGAGATTTCACACCCCTGCCTTAAGCAGGCCTCTGGTCGACCTGTGATTTATTTGCGCCGCAACAGAACCGTCATGCTCACAAAAATCATGCTCGGGTCACAAAACTGAGAAATTATGTGATTATCGTGGAACGAGCGGCATCTCGATACAACATAATAGCAACCATGTTCATTTCACCAATGCTGTGATGACGATTCACAATATAATAAGATGATAACCGATACAAGCAGGACATCATAACTTCACACAGGTCGACTGTAATTTATTCCTGCCTGTCAGGACAACGTCCCGTCACGGCGCAGAAGTTGGAAATTTTGCTACTCTTTGTGACTGTTGATATTTTTGAACGCCAACTAATGCCAGTCATCTTAATATCATTGCAGTTACACGCAGGTTGCAAACACTCCCCCACTACTCAACTGCATGGGATGGAGGTAATGACTTACAGAAATGGTCAACTCTTTGGCCTGCAGTCCATCAAAGACTTTGTCGTAGGCGTTGAAGCGCTGGAAGAGAGGGTTAGTCTTATCCCACAGGTTGACTGGCTTGAGGACGTAGCCGGAGTTACCGGACTGCTCAAACATGGTCTTGTTGGTGATCTGGTTGGTGTCTGAGGAGGGAAATGAGGATCAAAGTCCATAAACTGCTTGCTCACACACTTTCAAGAGCTCAGTGAATAAACCTGAAAATGTGTTTTTCAAATCTGAGACATCCATCATCCGGTATTGGTCAAAGGAGATTAAAGACTTGGAGTTTTGGATCATTTTTCTGAATCATTGGTTAGATGTCATGGTCAATTGGCTCTGTCATGGACATTATTTTCCCTTTCGTAATGCTGAAATTCCAGGCCTGGTTGCTGATAATGAACTCACATTCAGCTCTGGTCATGATCGGTGGCCAGACCCCTACCCAGACTCCTACCACGTTATTATTCCCTTATTTCAAATTCTTGATTGGAAAAAACAACAAGATATCTGACAAGGATAAATGGACCAAGCTAACTTGTCCACTCACCTTCTGTTTGGTAGTTGAGAGCCACCATCTGAATTCCAAATGCCCAGTAAATGACAGGATTGTAGTTGGATGAGTCTATCCTCATGCCCGCTGGGTAGGTCCGCATCAACTGGTACTCGGTATGCGTGGACCGTGTTAAGGAATACTCTGATACAACAGAAACTAGACGTGTGTTTGTAAGTGACAAACACAGGGCTGTTCCGGCATTTTTTAGGCATGTTCATGAAATGTTGTAGACTGATAGAATATACATACGGTGCAATGGAAATTTGCAGAGCGATCAGATATGTAGTTCTGAAGATAGCACACCGTTGAAATGCATTCAACAGTAAGCTATCTTTAAACATTCCGACAAACAATTCCTACTTAATCTACATAGTTTCCTCTTCATTTTTCTCATTGTCTCACTCCAACTAGTCAATTCCGTCTGCATTTATCTGTCAATATTTACCACGTGTCTGTCTGTCTGTCTGTCTGTCGGGCTGTTCAAAGTTTGTTTAATTTTTCCTGTACATGTTGGTCAGTCCGTCTTTCTGTAATTTCTATATTTTAAATCTTCACTTTTTCAATATATTTACCATGTTTGAATGTATCGTGATTTATGTAAAGGCTTGCCCCTACAAGTTGCGGCTTCTCATGATCATGCCAATATCTAATCACAATTTACTGTACTGCTGGTTATTCTCTGCTTTTGATGGAAATAAATGTTACTGAATTGAAAATAAAATTAAATTGAGCATAGTATGCCCCACCCTGACAAGAGGATATATTTCGGTCAACCAATGATAGAACTACCAAGTGGAACTTAACACAAAGTATTGCTGTGCAGTTTACTTGCTCTAGTAGAACATACACAGTGTTAACTGGCAAATCTTTTGTTTGTGAAAACAGACTAATGAAATATGGATTTTTTTTCCAAAAGGATATTTGATGAACTGGGCAGGGAACTTGCGGAACATTCTCTTGAGGTTGTTCTCGTTGACAGAGGAGCAGTGGTAGCACTTGGGTGTTTGTGTAAGGCTGGTGATCTGATCTGAGGGAAGACTGTCCGACATGCCTCGATCCATGTCCAACGATTCGCCTGGGGGGCAAAAATGGAACGGCATTATATCAGGTTTGCATCAGAAACAGTGCTGGAGCTATAGATGGCGTTGTGTGGTTTGGTTGCCAGAACCAAGAAAAATCCAAGTTACATGCCAGTACCATCACATCGCATCGCAAAACCTCTGTTTGCAGGAACTAAAATGTAGCATTTGTGTTCTTGACTTACCTCTGCTTAAGCTGAGCTCCTTGACCGACGAGGCGGGGCTGCCTGGAATGGAGGCGTTGGAGGACGTGCTTCCTTTACGTTCCTTCTCTCGGTTTTTACTAGTCTTGTCTTTACTGGAGCCTGGCTGCTCTGCAAAACCTTCAAAAACGAAGAGGGAAAGATCGTAGACAAACATCAATCAATCAGAGGTGAGTTTGAGTGGCTAGAACTTGGTCATTTCTATCCATGGGCTCAAGAGAGCTAGCAAGAGAGGGAGCTTCTTGTCCACTTTCACGAGCCCAGTGGAAAGGATCCAGATGCAATGGTTTGCAGGCATTTGGCGCAGAGTACACACAGCTTAATTCTGAATGTGCACAAAGCCACAGCATCTTTGCGAGCGTCAGGCATCGTTGGCGAATGTCTCTTCCAGCGGTCTTCCCAAACTCTCAATTTCTGACCGCTGAGGGGTCCTTGTGCACTTAGCCCACAGGTAGGATAAACTAAGATCATATTCCGGGTCTGGATATGTTACTAAAGAGGACGGGGACAGTAGCAATTGCTACTGGAGATAGTGGTAAACTATTAATTTTTATGAAAGAAGGGGGAAATGAAAGAAAAGCACCCATAGAATAAAGTCTTTAAAAATTCTCTCTGTACACGAAGAGCAGATGGTCTATGTATTGCATATTGACCACTATCATGTTGCGGCCATCTTGATGTTTTACCATTCAAATCAACATTACCAAAGCGAGGATGAAAGGAAAAATAGTCTGGTTCCTTTTTGCACAAAAAACATTATCATTCAGTACTGTTATTGGATACAGGGAACATGACTGAAATGGTGGCAGCATGATAAAGGTCTATTGTGGCCAAAAATGGACTGAGGTTGCCTGTAGAAGAAGTGCGCACATTAGATTACCCCATTTTTCACGGGGAGATTTTACAAGATTCCCAAGATGTTGTTGTGCTAGCAGTTTGTGGGTGATAGTGAATCTTTGTGATAAGGCCCTCTTGCGGCAGATGTTCGATAGCTATCTAATTGACAAAAGTGTCTTATCCCAAGACTAGGACCCACCAGGAAACTTGACCGCCTGGGTGTAGATGACGAGGTTAGAGAGCTGGGCAGCTATCTGATGACCTTCCTTCTTCTTCTTGTGCTTGGCCTGCACCATCTTGTGCATGTCTTCGCCGGCCCCGATGGGTGACGATATGGTGCTTGTCTTACTCCTGTTGAAAAAGCAAACCAATCAGAGCAAGCCATTATGTTCTGACTTCAACAAGCTCCCGACACAAAATCCTAGCTTCTTAGCAGAAAGCAAATTTACTTATTCAGTTGAAATATTAAAGTTGTATTCCCTGTACTCTTCAAAAAGTTCCTTTTCTTTCTTTTTTTTGCTAAGATTTTCTCCTGCGATAAAAAGTGCTTGATTTTTGGCTCTTAAAGGTTTGAAATGTCTTGGGGCATGCAGAAAACAATTGACAACCTTTTGTGCCCACCAAGATCTCTAACTTTTTACCTTTTTTTTCAAAGAAAAGAAAAGTTTCTTGTTTAAAAACTGTGTTGGTAATTTCTTCTCACTGGATCCAGCAACGAAAAACTTGTACTTACTTTTGCGAAGTGTAGGTCTTGGCATTGGCGGTGTTGTTGTTGTTGATGGAGATGGACTTGGAGGGATCGTCAGACAGCTCTGATATATCGGTTGCCGTTGACTCCATTCTGGATAACGTGCCGCTCTTGCTATCCGGACCCTCGCCGCTAGTTTCTGCAAAATTGGAAGTTGGAACAAACACAAAATCATTTGGGGCTTTTCACCTAAAATACATTAAACATATGACCCCTTTAGGAAAAAAAAAAAAGTAAAAGAAAAAGAAAAAAAACAACAACAAAACAGAACAAAACAAAATGGTGCTGCTGTTTGAAGAAATACATGTTGAGAAGGGGTGAAAATGACAACCAACATTGCGTTTAGGAGTGGTTTTCTTCACATTTTCATGACAGGAAACGAGTAAGCTACCAAGGGCGGATCCAGGGGAGGCCAATGACGAACCCATTTTTTAAAATTTTAGTGACATTGCAAAAAAGTCAGCAACTGCGTACAGCATTAAAATACGCCACAATGCATCAATGCCATGATTTGTCCTAGTGCCCCCCCCCCTTCCTTTCCACATTAAATTTTGGGCGTAACATTTTTGGACCCACTTATTAGGGAACAAAAACAAAATTTGGCACCCCCCCCAATAAAATATTGTTTTCTGGATCCGACCATGTAAACTACTCGAACAAAAAACTTCCTTGATGATACAAATGATCGTTCTGAGCGAGTGTTTGCCATCAACCTGGAATTAGATTGCGAGTGTTGACAATTTTCTAATTCCAGATGAACAAAATGTTGACTCATTTTAGACATCAAGTACACTATCACATATTGTAATTTTTATTAAATTACTGACCGTCTATTGGCAGGACATCCTCATACGCATCTTCAAACTCATCATCCTCTTCTTCGGAGATGTCCCCCATGGAGGCGGTGGCTGCGGCTAGCTCCGCCCCCCACTGGCTCTTCTGCTCACCTGCCATCTGCATCATCTACAAGTTCAAAAACAAGACCCTTTAAATTTCTACATCTTTCATTAAGAAAAATCGTCTTTTGATCATGTAGCAATTTTTAAATACCACGTTCTGTTATGAATAGTTTTCTCAATGGGCCTTCAAGGTTATCAACTTGTGCGTAGTAGTATGTTTCCTTCATCAACATCTTAAAACTAGATTTTACTATTCCACATACTTATCCGACTTTGATTATACAGGGTTTCCCCTTCGTGGTGATAACATTACAAGCACTCTACACGTTCTACTAGTCAGTAGATTGCGAGGAAACAGTTTACAAGATTAATATGGCAAAATTTACCAGGACTGCATTCCACGCATGTAAACGTGTTTGTGTTCGTTATCTCTGCGAACCTGCTCACCCTAAATAGAATGAAAATGTCCTCAAACAACGTTTGTAAAAAATGGACCCCGTTTGCAAATCCTAAAAAGTGTCAGTATTTGGGAAGCAGTTTTAAAATACTTGAAAAATTCATTAACTTAGTCACTGGCGAAAATGAAAATGGTAGATTTCAGAACATAGAAAATGGTAGGTTTCAGCCCCAACAGGATCAATGTATGTGTCCACCATTTTGGGAATTGCAGTTAATGACTCAGAACCGTTTGCCTGCCTTTTTTTGCTACTGTTCAACACCGTTTGTGGAAAACAGTCGGTCCCACTTGCACAGAAGTTGCTAACCTAGGTTAACATTGGCGCTGTTAAAAAAAGTGGAACGTAGCCCAGTTTTAATATTTCTCACAGGAGTTTCGCCAGCAGTGGATATACAGTCCTTCTAAAATTATGTCGGTGAAGACACAAATCCACTATCACAATTTTCCACTCTCTATCTATCTAAAACCATCTGATGGTTATACCCTGTGTTTGAGGAGCTCCGGGGGTAACTGGTTGGCTTTGATCTTCTTGTTCTTGACCAGGATCTTCCCACGGAGTTGCTCCGGGCTGGGTAGGTGGGGGTCGTCGCTGAAGTCTGTCTCACACATGAATCTAGTCACAAGCTTCTCCCCAAACACATCCTGTGCAGGTACAAATCACAAACAGACTTAGGGCTTCGTCTCTCTTTTTACTTTGACTTTGCAGAGTATTTTACTCCGCAGAAAAAAAATCACCAAAGTATTTAGAATTCCTTTGCTTATGAAAAAATACCAACTCTGTTCTGTATTTTATTTGTATAGGTCTCTTGTCCGTAGTCCTTCTGTTCTTTCTGTAATTCTAACATTTCAAGTTAATTCCATGAGCTTAATAGGTAATCAAGGGTATTGTCATCGAAGGAGTTTGGATGGTATCTACCAACAATATCCTCGGGCAGTTACGAAGGTTTCTTGGTTTTTAACGGCTGATGGGACTTTGCACCCTCTAGACTTACCAAGAAGATCTGGGCCATCCTTGCTTGCTGCGGCAGGGAGCAGTGATTCTCAATGGACAGGATGATGGGGTAGTCCGAGGTCACAAACGCTGCCCTGTTGATGGCTTCGACTACATCCTAAAATACCAAGAGCAAAAAGTTCAATTATACATATTTTTTCACTACTTCATAACTTGAGTAACAGAGTTAAACAAAAGCTTATATCCCAAAATTAACTGGCACTCCTCTAAAAAAAGAGACTGTGTTATTTTTTTCAGTAAATTCTAGAGATAAGCTGGTAGCAATGGATCTGGGTGCTTTGTTTACATGTGTTCTTTCTTTTTGGAGATAGGTGGGGGGAAAAAGGAAAAACTACTTGGTTAAAAGCTAGTAAAATGGGGCGATTGGGGTACCTGTTCCCCCTTTTCAGTATCAGCCAATTTCAATAAGGGCAGATAAAACATGCCTGAGAAAATACGTAAGCTCAGAAACAAGCAAAACTCATCAAAAGGCACTTGGGCCTGAACCTGATTTTCCTGAGCAAACTTCTTCTGTTCTTGGCGGTTTTATCTTACCTTGAAGACGATCTTGGATGTCAGTGTGTGACCGTGGTAGATCATTGGACTACCATCATCGCCGTCCCAGCAGTCAAGCTCAACACACCGGCAGCCAGTCAGTAGAATCTGCAAGAGGGGGTTAGCCAAGACACTAAAACCCTAATCCTCCCAGATCTAGGGGTGTGGATTTACGGATAGTATGGGAATCGGGTACCCGATTGAAAAAAAACAAGGGTACCCGTTAAAGAAACCTCATCCCAAGATTTAAATCTTGGAAGTTGCTGTTCACATTGTTCATAAAGGTCTGCACGATAATACTGCCACATCGGTGCGTCAATACAGCAAGGTTCAAGTGTGTGTACAGTGAGCTCTTTAGCTTTACAGTGTAAATGGCATTTTCGCAATGTTATGTTTTTCCATGGGTTTTTAAAGGGTACCCATGTTTCTTCAATCGGGTATCCGGTTCCCGTACTACCCGTAAATGCACACCCCTAGGAATAAGAAAACACTTTGAGAAACATCAACATTTTTTGCAGGCCGAATACTCTGTGTGTACATCCTATTGAGTGAGGGCTAATTAGGTTGATACAGAGTCATATGTTACATTTGTGAAAAAAAATTTATGAATAAAACTGCTTTGGAATTTTCTAAAACAAAATTTGTTAAGTCTCAATCCTAGTTTTTAAAATGATCACCATGAGAATATTCTGATCGCAAGCCATAATATCGCCAATTACATTTATTTTATTGCTGTTATTATGGATATCATTCTAGGCGAAAAATATTGCTTAGCCAAAATCTGAGCAAAAATCAACAGACAAAATTTATATAACTTGATTTTTGCTGTAAAAAACTCCAAATTTTCAGCCAAGGAATTGGAAGCATGTACCTGTGCATAGATCTCAACGGAGGATTCACCCTTTAACTGGTGCCCTGTCAAGTAGGTGTTGTGGGAGGAGTCAATGAAGTAATGGCTCAGTGGATGATTCTGCTCCTGTCAATACAAATGTAAGAAACAACATCGCAACATAGTAAATGGGTCAAACACAGTTTTGAGTGATCAAATACTAAATTATTGGAAAATGGACAGACCTAAGGCGCACGTGCTGCTAACCACGCCCACAGTGGGTGGGGCCTAAATGGATAGGTCTGCACTGTTAGTCTGTACCTCTTGTTTGTAGGCACGCTCCTCGTTGTTGAAGGCATAGCTCTCTTTATCCATCATGAAGCGGGCAAAGCCTTCGAAAGACAGGCACTGCTGGTCTCTGACGGAAGCCGTCGGCTCATGGCGCTGGGTTGAAAGAAAAAAAGGGTAAAAAGCCGCTACACGTATGATAACAAATCATAAATATTTTGTCCTGAGGAAAATCCCCGACCACACAGTAACTGTCACCTCACAATATCTTCTATAACTGAAAGCAGCAATGATATACACAGGGGTGTGATTGGCCACCGATAAAAATAGCTGAAAACACCTGGAAAAGGTGTAAAAAAGCTGAACTTTGAAGATCTCCTATACTTTTGTTCACAGCAAGTGAGGGAAAGAAAGCTGAAATCCAAAACAAAAAAAGCTGAAATCAGCTTTAAAGCTGAGATTTCACACCCCTGTATACACCACGCACAGTTAGAAAGGGCAGAAAATTGGCTCATGGATTCCTTAACAAAAAGTGTGGAGTACTGAAACATTTTTGTTAAAAATAAAAGTTTCATGAAAACTTTCAGAAAAACAAATTTTGCTTGTGACTGGCTCTAATCATCCCATTTTTTTGTTTTTATAGTAGCACAACGAAATTTGGATCCATGGTTTATGTGCAAAAGAGATACCAAAACAGAACAAAAATCGAGCAAACTTTCTTGATATTCCAAGCATGACTTTTGGAATTTTAGTTTGAATAATCAAGCCAAATTTGCTGGACATGAACATTTTTGATTGCCATTTTTCACTTGGCATCTACTTTAAGACACGCACACCAGTGACCTTTTGATCAATTCAGTCCAATTGGAAGTCAGTTAGGTTAAACTTGTCTGCACAGCTAACAAGCCACAAAAAAAAAAACCAAAAAGCCTCAGGCCGTGAAACCGATGATGAAATACTACCCTTCTAATGGCATGATGGAATAAGAAGGGCCTGAATTTCAGGAATAGGAACCCTGTATGACCATGGGCCTACATACACACGTAGAGTAGCTTGAGAATTCTAATTGACCAGAAAACCTTTTGAAATAACCTTGTAGGGGCATCACTACAAAGCAAGTAAGTATACTAACAACACATTTTCTGGAATGAAGGTTTCAGAAAAAAAGGAAAAATCAGTTGAACATTCGGAAGATGTATTTTCTAAATTGAAAAAAAAAGGGAAACTAAAAAGGGGGGACATTTTGTTCGTGACAAAACAAAAATCCAAGGAAAACATTCTCCACTACTTTTGGGGGGTATAAGTGTGTAAATGAAGATATTTCTGCCGGTGTAAAGCAAGCCCCACTCAAGAAGGGTGAAAAAAAGGGCCACATGGTACTCCCAATTCACCTTGACAAATCTCAGAACACGATTCAGAAAATAAGCCCTCGCACACTTTCTGTTTGGTGTAGGCATGTTTTCTCATGTCATATTACATGACAACAGATTAGTAGCCCTAACAGTCCCGAATCCTCCAAGTTTAATACGATTTTGCACACCCCCTAAGGAGTTAGGTTAAGCCACGTAAAGTTCTTTTCAAATTAAAACTGAACAGCAGCCACCAGAGACCTTACGAGGAGATGGTCATTCCATGCAAAAGCCGAGACAAATGAAAAAGATCACAGGGTGCTGAACTCCCTGAAAAAAAATCCAAGAATACCTAGCCCCTTTGCATATCGGAAAACGTCTCCTCTGATGCCACAAACTGATCGGACTGCCATGCTTGGATGACACGATGAATACTAATCAGGCCTGGATTCCATCACCCCATCGGAGCTTCAAATAAATTTGTAATGATCGGGGAGGCATCCGGGGCAGGGCCTGGGGCAAAAGTGGGCTCTGTTTACGGCGTTTATCTGGTCCGGGATTCAGTATATAATGAGCCAAGCATTGGAGCCAGGCAGTTGGAATTTACTGCCCTAACTGAATTGAGGACAGTCAGTGTAGAGTGAAGCGTTAGACGGTGTAATTTAGAGTTAGATAGGACAACATTCGATACTGATTGTGTGAAAATGGCACAGTTGGGCCTAACTAACATTTAAGTACTCCTTGTAGTACCACAAACTGAACCTCTCGCGAGTATTACTGCACACTACACATTCTCGCAATCTCAATTCACATGCCGTTACCACTTGGCAACTTCGGGGTTTTTTATGCATCTATTTAAAATCCTGAATTCTATTTTCTCCAGTCTCTTCAGTGTTTATGGAATGAGAAATTTGTCTTTTTTATCATTCCAAAATGACTTCTGCAATCTACTAGCAGACTGTGTTCTTAATTCTGATGACACTATGTTTGGTATTTTGAATTCAGTATCTCTCTAGAAAATGCAATTTTCTTACACATTTTACAGTTGAGGCCATGCAAATCATTACGGAAGCATTGCTGTGATTGCTATCTTTATTTTGTGTTGCCTTTTGTATGGTTAAGTCGTCTTCATTGTCGTTTTACACCAAACTTTCCCTCAAAAAAATCCAAACCCTGTCTGCTATCCACGACAAGTCTGTCGGTTTTAAACATCGCCAACTAGTTTGGTAACTCCAATAACCTTAAAGTGGATTCTTGTTCTCTTTTAGCAACAGGGCCCGTAACTACACAATCGCCGGTACAGTGATCCGATTGGACATTCTTTCATCTACCAACCTGGATGATTCTCAAGACGGCGTCCTCCTCCAAATCCTCCTCCTGTTCCCGGCTCAGGAACTGCTTCAGTTCCTCGGCGCCCATCACGTGGGTGGTCACCGTCTGGACACCGGTGCTGTTGGCCTGGACGCTGGAGGCCGCGATGGCGTCGGCAACGCGCCGGTTGCTGTCGGTGAGAGGCTCCACGAACATGTTCCTGCTCAAGCTGAACACTACGGGTGCATAAGAGAGAGCAGAATTAACAAGTGCAGAAATCTAAGATACAAGTTGCTTAGACCATCACAGGTGATCACCACTTACAATTAGGGTCAAGCAAGTTGAGCACAGAAATTTACTGGGGTGGAATTTGAACCTGCAGCTCATTTCACCAAATTTGTGCACATTGACGTAACTCCACTTAACTCAGGCATGTAACTGGGAATAAGGAAAACGAGGTAATTCCAGACCACACAAGACTTTGTACAGTGTTTTTCAATTTGTAATGGCATTCACGAGAAGTAAAAAACGAGGAAATCAGCGGATTCAACAGAAAGTTGCAGGTCTGTTGCATGTCACTGCACAAGTTGCGCAACATTTTATTTATAACACATTTCACGAAAGTTGCACAACAAATTACACAAAAAATTATGGTATAGCTATTTTGGGTGGCGTACATGTAGCAACTGAAAATTTTCTATTTTACTTAATATCATGATTTCGGAAAACAGCCTTGTTTCTAACTAGTTCATGTCGGATGAAGTGTATACACACAAACGTTTTGCGGTATTCGGTGAAATCAATCTCAGGGTTGACGCAGGGTTGAAAATTTTCAAGTGTGAAATGATGCATGTTTTAAACCCTGCATCGACCCGAGATTTGTCAACAGTGAAAAGGCTATCAGAGGGATACATACTGGTTCCCTGCATGTATTCCGTTTCACCGTCATCACTCTTTGCCGGTAACTGCTCCTTGTTGGCGGAGTAGGCTTTGGAGTAAGAGTCAAAGATGTCCTTGATGTCCTTCCTACAACGCAGACTGAAAGACTTGAACAACTCCACAAACTCTGCACGCAAAGATAACAAAACAATGATTATAATAAAATACAAAGTAATCAGTGCTTGAAGTTTACGATGGATTCTCTGCATAAACAGCAGATTACACTAGATATGCACAGAGTCCCCATGAATCAAAATGGACTTTGCGTATAAAAAAATGGGATCTTTTGCCTTGTTTGGAGATTACCAAGTTTGGCCTTTAGACTCTAAGACTTAAAGTAATAAAAGCCCAACTATAATCTTATAATAGTTTGTGCGGTACCCGCTGCTATGTACATCAGATTCGAACCGGCCAACCGATCCCGTTAGCTCGGTGGTCGAGTGGTAAGACATCTGCACTAGAAAGCAGGAGGTCGTGGGTTCGAGTCCCACCCGAGTGATTTTTTCCAACTTTCACTCGGGAGGTAACACACGGAGTATACAGTGTTTAAAAAACGTCGGTGAAGGGCAAAACCTAATTTGATTTATATCACCCCGACGCAAAAATTCCATCTTATAAAAGCCCAACTACTTATCAAAATTAACTCCTTCATGTTCCCATACTAAAAATATCCTGAGAAAGGTTTAGCACCTTACTATTGGAATATCCTAATGGTCTACAGCAGTGTTGTATTCAAGTACATTTCTATGAGTACGAGTATGAGTTCTTTACAATGAGTACGAGTATGAGTACTCTGTCATGTGTACGAGTACCAGTACGAGTACAAGGCAATTTTTTCCCACGAGTATGAGTACAAGAACAAGTACTTTCCATGAGCCGATGCAAGTGTCAACGGGTACATGTGTTCTCAAGGCTTTTTGATGTGAAAGTAGGCATTAAACAAATGCAGAAGCCTCCCAAACAGTAGAAAACTGGTTCTTTTCAAGCATATACCTCTTACTTATTTTTTCTTTCTTGCGGGCGAACATTTGCAAGAGTACGAGTACTTTATCATGAGTACGAGTACAAGTATTTTTGTCTTGCGAATAGTTTTTTTCTTAAACAAGTCCATCACAAGTCCAGTCACAAGTAAATCATGAGTCTAGTTACAAGTCCAGTCACAAGTAACAGTGGATGACCAATAATTTTAAGAAATGCCTTTTGTCAAAGCTCATTTGAAAAGCTTGCGAGTTGAATTGGGACTGGAGGACTTGTGATGGACTTGCAGGGACTTGTGAAGGACTAGACTACATCCCTTGTACATTCTTGTGAGTACGAGTACCAAAAATTGTACTCAAGTACGAGTACCAGTACTACCACACCAGCTTACCATGACATGGTCACAGTTTGGGCTTACCGGCGAAGGTGAGTTGGGAGTTCATAGTCAGCAGGCCCTGGGTTCCCGCGGTGGAGACGTTATGGGTCTTCTTCCGGGCATAGTAAGACAACGGAATGTCCTGGCCCAGCTCACTGTAGCTGGAATCAGTCCGGCTCTTGGTGGAGCTACGCGTGGAGTCAGTCCGGCTCCGGTCTGTGATGATGGAGGCAGAGACTGACGTTGAGTCGTAATCTGGGGGGGGATAGGGACAAACAAAGGGGAACAAATGGTGAGTTTGTTTGGCTCGGGTAACATAAGAACGCCATGTCTGCAACCACAAGCTCAATCTACATATGAAATGATTGTTTGATTGGTGTCTGGTATGGCGATTTTGGCTTGTAACTTGGGATTTCAATCTTCTAGGTTAAGAGTACATGATTGGGCCTAGGTTTCATAATAAATGCTTGTGCTACCTTTTTTTCGGGGAAGGTAAAGCAACTATTTGTCTTTTAAGTATTTTCAAAGAAACAACATACGGAAACTGACTAGGTGCATTATACATGTAACTATTTTGTGGTCGCAAAAAGTAATTGACTGGAGTGGGGTTTGAACCACAGCCTCCAAGTTTGCCGTTCCGGTGCTCTACCAACTGATCTATCCAGCCCGATGTTTGCAGTTCCCAATTTTGGCAATGGTCTTTGTTCAATGGACGCTAGTCAGAAGCCATAAACCCGTGTATGCCATGTATCAATGTTGCAAACCCAGGAAATAGCAAACGGGGATCACTCAGAGAGGTTACAGCTTATTATTACAAATTTTCAAAGAAAATGGCTTCCGACTACAGAGTATTTAGTCTTACAAAATGTACAAATGTATGTATCTCTTTATTACACATATTAAAAGTGGAATTGTCAACAACAAAAAATTAGTATTCTGCTGATTCGTGAAGTTTTCCTCCACATTTTTACCTTTGCTATCAGGTGCCGACTCATTCGGTTCAGATATACCGCTGTCGTCGTTGTTTGTCGTCCGAGACCCGTCCGGTATATCCATGCTTGATGACGGTGAATCGTCCATGTCGATGGAGCCGTGGAAGGCCTCGCTGGCTGCGGAGCGCGTCTGGACTTTCTTCATGGCCTTCTTCTTGAAACTCTGAGTCTTGCGACCTCGGTTTCTTAGCTTGGCATCGTCAGAGCCCTGAGAGCATTTTTAATCAAAGCATTTCTTAATTTTGAAATTATGTACAATTTTAGCTAATGACCTTTTACCGGGAACCACACCTGCCCAAAACGTGCACTTCACCGGCATGTTAAATCATAACATCCTTTTCCCGGGAATAAACTTGGCTTTACCTACCCACTTCATTGGGTCGCTATCGCACTTGGAGTATATTTTGTTACATTAGTATTACAGGCTAACGTCCTTTTGCAGGGGGAAAAATAATGAAAAACCTCCTTCCGTCTTTTTCATACTGTTAAGTGCATCAGAATGCCGTAGCCCCCTGAGACAGATTGTATATCAAATGAAAGGTATTTCCATGCCGTATCGATTACTTGAAAAATCCAAATTTGACCTTTTGACCCATTTTTCGCCCTAACGACCTTCTTCCACGCAACCGACGAATCCTATTCTTACCTTCTGAGCAACAAGAGATTTTTGCTTGATGACAATCTTCTTGGTCGGTGTGCTGAACCCCGTCGACGGTTTGTTGAGCGTGGACCCAGAGTCGGCATTCTGGTTCCGATCGTTCGGCAGTTTCTTCATTGCTAGGTTCCTGCCACCGAAAACCTGAAGAATAGTGGGTCATTGAAAGGGTGAGTTGTGATAAATAATAATAATGTGGCTCTTATATATTGCAATTATAACCCCTGTTCATCAGGCTATGTGACCATTTTTTGTAGCAACTCGAGCTGTAAATCATTTCCAGCTGTAAATTCCTCCAATCTGGGCTTGCTTGTATGAGTCTACCATACAATCTGTGCGCTGACGACTGGTAGAACAGATTAAAATTGCGCTCGCAATATACAAATTTCGTTGTGCCGTTTTCATGAAATTCGTTGAAATTTAATTTTAAAAATCAGACTTTACGGGGAAATGATCGTCAGAAATATCACAATTTTGGAAATTCATTTGAAAAAGTCGGATTTCAAATTAAAATCAGAAAAGTTTCATCTCTGAAAGGTTGTCATTTTATTAAGATTCACATGTAAATCTTGATTTAACCATCCTAATGAAAACTAGGATGACACTGTACGGATTCGCCAAATCTGAAGGAAAAAAAGGAGATTCTTTTGTAATATTCTTTGGGGGCAAGATGTTATGCTCACTTTGATAGCTTCCAGAGGAGTTGGTCCAACACACTTCCCATCTTCAAAGAACAAGTTCAGGTACTCTCGCTGCAGCCAGACAATCCTCCGATCGGCATTAAACATCCGGTGTTTCCTGATAGCCCTGATCAGGGCCTGCAGGCCGTAAGCCCACAGCAAGACGGTCTTCTTGGGCGCCACAAAATGCAAGAGTCTGTTGTCCGCAATGCCACCGCCGTACAAGACCGTGAAGGCGTTCTCGCTGGGGCTGAGCCCCGGGAGGTTGTGGCGCTTGGACATAGCCCCAAAGTCCACCTCCTGGTCCCCCAAGAAGACATCCTTGGCACTCATCAGGTCCAGGTAGCCTTCCTCGAGACCGTTGGCTATCACGGTGCCGGAGCTGTACTTGCTGCTCAGCACAGACTCCAAGGAGCTCTCCGTGTCCTCCCCGGCTGGCGAGGTCTTGGACCAGACCAGGAGGCTGTTGGTGGGATCCAGACGCAGCTGGCACAGAGCCGACTTCTCCTCGTCCCAGTGAATGGCTGTGGTGCCGTGGTGCATGCACTGCAAGAGGTGTATGTCCCTCTCTAGCAGGTGATGTGGAATGATCTCGATTTGGTGGGGGGTGGGGACGGGGTGGATCGGATCGTAGGGATACTCTTGATCATCGCAAGTGATGTAAGACGTCTTGCCAGTTGACTTTAAGTCATCATCATCTTTGCCTTCACTATTAAATCAAAAAAAAAAAGGTGACAAATTACAAACAAGTCAGGTGTGTTTACAAACACAAATGCCCCGCAACCGTGACTGTTTCCATGACATAACACCACTCTAACATCAACTTACATGTACCTTGGTCAAATGGAACGTTCATTGACAGCATTAGTGTCTTCTGTAGGTTTTATATGAATTAATCCCTAATCCCTATGATCTCAGAATAAATACAAGATTTCTATTGTTTTAGCCACTGTGACCTTGACCCTTGACCTTTCGACCCCCAATGCGATAGGCTCCTTAGGATTGCCAAGGACAATCCACAAACCAAATTTGAAGTTCATATGTAAAGTATATCTCAAGTTATCACGCTGACAAAATTTCTTTTGTTTTTGCCACTGTGACCTTGACCCTTGACCTTTTGGCCCCAAATGCAAAAGGCTTCTTAGGATTGCCAAGGACAATCCACAAACCAAATTTGAAGTTCATATGTAAAGTATATCTCAAGTTATCGCGCTGACAAAATTTCTATTGTTTCAGCCACTGTGACCTTGACCCTTGACCTTTTGGCCCCAAATGCAAAAGGCTTCTTAGAATTGCCAAGGACAATCCACAAACCAAATTTGAAGTTCATATGTAAAGTATTTCTCAAGTTATCGTGCTGACAAAATTTCTATTGTTTCAGCCACTGTGACCTTGACCCTTGATCTTTCGGCCCCAAATGCAAAAGGCTTCTTAGGATTACCAAGGACAATCCACAAACCAAATTTGAAGTTCATATGTTAAGTATTTCTCAAGTTATCGCGCTGACAAGATTTGTCCGGACACACACACCCACACACGCACCCACCCACACACACACACACCCCACCCACCCACCCACCCACCCACCCACGGAAGGACAAGGCGGAAACAGTATGCCCCTTCGGCTTCGCCGCGGGGCATAAAAAAATGTTGTTGTCTTTTGGTAGCCTCTTCCTCCATGTACTTCAAAAATATAGTTGAGTCCAAGTCCTTTGCTTCTCGAGTACGAGTACCGCTATTAATTCGAGTCCGAGTATTTTGATATTCGAGTACAAGTGTGAGTACGAGTATTCTCAAAAAGTATGTACTTGAGTACGAGTACCAAGTACGAGTACAACAACACAAATATTACCTGTCAGTGTCTTTCTCCATGCTGTTGTTTCTCTCAGCTGCTTTTCGGCATAATCTGATGTCGGTCAGCACCCAATGTGTTCTCATCATTTTTTCCGTGTGGAGCAGACCACCAGTGTATTCTACAGTGGCATCTTTTGGGGTTCCGTTTTCAGAATCCTAGATAACCAAACGAGGGGGGAAAAAACCAAAGTTGTTATCAAATAGGTTTTTATCACAGTATTATCAAAATAATTACTTTGAACACACATTGTCCCCCACTCCTCCATGCAAACCCCAAACAGTTACTTTTTTGTTATTTTTTTCAAAAATTTTTGGGCCTGAAGTGTTACATATTTTCTGTCCCTGTTACCAATTACTGTTAGCAATTTGCCATTCAAGTTTGCGCCTTATTGAATTGAAAGTTAGATAAAATCTTAATTTTTGGAACTTGCGAAGAGAAATGAAAGCAAGTTAATTTATAATAAATTCCAGTCTGCTTCAATGAATAATGTTAAATTTGTAATTAAACATGCCCTAATGTTTAAAGCCATATTTAAAAAAATGACAGTAAAATAAGGCTGCATTGTGCCTGCATGAATAGTCTGGCGCCATCCCATTCAACAGTTAACAATTAATGAAATACATTCAGGGAACTGGATAAAAATGGCCAACTCGTGAATAAGGCCCATCATTAAGAATGACTTCAAACAATTTCGTATTCGTTGGGTAGGTAGTTTGCTATTCATAATCACTCTTGGAGGATAACTGCATTAAGAAGTGCATCAGAATTATAAAAAAATCATAGATGTCAGATGTAACAGGGACAGGAAAAAAGGGAACCCCAAGTTTATAGAATGACCTATATATGTAAAAAATGTTAATGACAGCCACCATGTAACAACCAGGAATTCCTGCTTTTAGCCCCCTCCGGATAAGTCCCTCCAGACGTCGTCTCCAGAGAGAAGAACAATATTAATACAGAGCACAGGAGTGACTGGCATTGTGCCAGCCACTGCTCTGCTGCATTGGGGCTGCGCTAGTCTGAACATTTGGGAATCTCAATACTCTGTATGAGAGTCCCAAAACTTACGACAGTAAAAACATGCAACACAAGAAAATAGACTGGCACATGAAACAACCAGTCCACCACCCATTTAGTACTGCATCAATCAATCATGTCAAAAGAAACATCTGGTACCCAGTCTCTATTTCTACACATTCTCTATTTCTACACATAGTCGTGCCACCAGACTACTGAAGGGTCAATCTTTTCAAAAAGTTGGACAAGTACCAGTCTAGACGAGTCTTAGATTTCAAAATGAAATCACTTGGCTTCACTCTCAGGTGCAAAATGTTGAAGAAAAGTTTCCTTTAAAAATGTAATCGAATACAAACCACAAAACTTTAAAGGACTTTTTCTCAGTATTTTACACTTTTGACATGCCGATACATGCAAATTTTAAACAGCCATAACTTGTCAACGGAATGTCCGACTGAAGTGCAACAAACACCATTGTAAGGAAAATTTTATTCTCTTTCCTTATATTTGCAAACTCATTTCGACCTCTGCCTACTTCTGTCTCATTTTGCTAGAACATCTCACAAATGTGGTTCCTCAAAAAAAATCTTACTTTGTCTGTGGAGTCAGGAACAGCCACCACGGGAGAATTCTCCTCGTAAATGCTCTGCAGCTCTCGCAAGAAAGCGCCAAAGTACGGCACCACCTTGCAGCCCGGTATGCAGATGGCCCGGTCCACAGCGTCCCGGTACTCCATGCTGTTGCTGTTGATGGACTCGTACAGGGCCATCATGGCTTCCACGTCCCCCTCGTCCGAGCCCTGGAAGAGCGGCCGGACCAACATGGACCTGGAGCAATCGAAAAAATTCCTGGGATGGGCAGGGGGTAGGGCCGCGATGCGCACACATGGCAGAAGATGGGTAAAAAAATGGCGTGAGCACACGTTAGTCTAGGCATGGAAGTGTTTTAATCATGAATTTCTTTTGTTTGGCTTGTGTATGTGTTTAAAATACAAGCACTAATTCTTATTATTGTGAGTTAAACTAGCTTGAGCTTTGGCCAGGTTCGCGCAAGAACTATAGTTGACCAATGACTAACCATAGTCCGACTAACGCTTGCCCGAACTCTGTCTAGTCGATGGTGGTTGACTACGCTAGTCGACTATTTGGAACCAACCTACTGGGGCTGGTTGCATCGCTGGTAACCAATGCCGCGTGCATTCATAACGCTAGCAGAGAGCCAGGATCCAGAAGTTTTGCGATGACATTTTGACCAGCTATGACTAGAGACGTTCGCACAGTGCTATCAGTGCGCAGGCGCAAGGTACGTCACAAATCAACCACTGGTCGACTAATGGTCCTTGCCCAAACTTGGCCTTTGATTGTGACCAAATCTCATAATATGAGTTAGGGATTGCTGAATGGTTTAATTCCCGAGCACATTTTCCGGCAGGTTTGAAGAAAACAAATCTTGTTCAACTTCATAATGCTAATAACCTGTACTTTTGAAAAAGGATGAAAATATACAAAGTTTAAAACAGCATATCCTTTGGAAATTACCGTCTTTAAATAGTGAGGTTTAGCAGCGCATCAATGCAAACATATAAGCAAATGCGCAAGACTTTGCGTGTTCACCCCCATGTTTTTTTCTCACATAACGTATTACCAAACCCCGGTATTGTTTTCTTCACAATGACAGCATGCCAGAAGGAATAATTTCACAAGGAGTTTAGTAACATTACTATCTTTAAACAAAGGAAGCTTTTTAAGAACAATTCGGTTGGTTACTTTTTGGATAGCTGCAAATGGTTAGAGGTACGTGAATCACAGCCAATTGTTAGTGTCTGGTTTGGTGTGTAATATTCACGCTGCGTAAACACTCAAAAGCCAGTCAGTCAACGGACACAACTTGGACATATGGCATGATAACTTAATAGAGAGACATTCCCACAGAGTTGTGCACAAAATTGTTCAAACTTTCATGACCAGCCTAACCCCCATTTTACCTTACCCAACCCCTTCAATTTTGGTACATTGATGTTTTCAACCACAAACAATCGATCTATCCTATTTGCCATGTAACATATTGCCTCTAAATGGGATATTGACCTATCGCGGTACAATCGCGGTAGAATCGCGTCAACGCAGCTTGTGAAATATTGTCCAATTACATGATATACAAATGGACGCGGAACGCGCAACATCTGAGACAAACAAAACTTAGCGTACAAAAATTCCATTGGGTTGTCTAAGGGGCGTGGCTAACTCACAAACGGCGATAGGTCAATTATCTACGTTGTCTCGCTGAGGTATAACTTATGACGAAAAAAATTTCTCCTTAATAAGGGTACATTTACAGGAATTAACAATCGTGCATGCATTAAGATAAAAAGAGCTATTCCTTGATGACAAATAACTCCTTCAAATTCACAGAAAGAGTCCAATTCAGCTTGGTACTTGTGTCTGGTAAGAGCAACTGAATCAAAGCAACGATGTAGAGTACATGGACGTGCAGATGAAACAAACATGCCCATTGCAATTTCTACAGATGAACCTCACATGCATGATGGCAGCAACTGCGTGCAATGTTGAAACGAAAACTGAGGCAAAGGCAATTCTTTACCCAGCCCATTCCTGCTCCCAGAATATTTCAAACGCAACTGATACAAAAAATATAAAACACACGGTGCAAAGACAAATTGTGCAACGGGTGAAACAGAATGCCTATTGCCATTCAGAATATCTCATGAAGGTTGAATATTCATGAGCTTGCATATTCATGCTGACCATAATGATTGCTATATACCTGAGGCCGTCTAGTATCTCCATGACCGCATTGAAGTTGCCCATGTTCCAGCAGGCGTTGGCTACTTGCACCAGACTAATGAGCAGTGTTGTCTTGTTCTCCTCGCCCTCGGTTACAATGAGTTCAGTGACCCAGTCGCTCACCTTGGTAACAGGAAAGAAAAACATCATCACTTCATGACATATTTTTAAAAGTACGTAGGGCATTTGAATTACACTGAAATGTACCTACATGTACCGATTTAACGAGAGAAAATCATCGCTCAAAGTGAAGATATAGGACTGGTACCAAATACCCCGTGAAACAATTTCTGCCTGAAATAATATCTTTCGGAAGAAAACAATCATTGAAGGTGGTTTAAGAATATGTGCCCATTGGCACAATTTTTTTTTACGTGCGTCAGCAACGAAATCCAAAAATTGAGACCCCAAAAATTGCGCATTCGTTTTCTCTGTTTTCTTGAAAAGTATAGTATCCACTGAGCTGAAACTTCAACAAGTCAGTTGTCATGAACCCTTTCTAAGCTTTTGAGCAATGTTGCTTTAAACAAAGAAAAAAAATTCACACAAAAAAATTACCTTTAAAGATACAGTACATGTATATATGTAATTCAACGGGGGCTGTAATTCACAGCACTGCTCAACAGCAGCTGAAAAATTGTGCAAATCCTTAGCATACTTTTTTGCTGGAATGTACTAACACTTCAGCTTAAAAATTGTGCAAATCCTTGGCATAATTTTTTGCTGGAATGTGCAAACACTTGTTTTGAATGGAGAGTTCCAATATTTTGTGAGTACTTTGTGCAAATACTTCCAATTCAGGCAAATTCAGACATCCAAACGACATCACAGTGATATGCACACCTTTGGATATGGGATGATGTCCGTACCAAGTTTCAAGTTTATTTTATGCAATTTACTGTCGACTGAAAAACCAATTAGTAAAGTTGTCCATTTACGTAGGAATGTACACATATAACAAGAAGAAAAGGATCCCATTGTCATATGAAGGACTGAAAGTTGGCTAGTTATTGGTAACATGACCCCTTAAATCAAGTTTAACTGTCTCCTAATTATCAGCGAATTCCTTCATACCTCTCTGAACCGGAGCAGTAAGTCCCTCACGGTCTTGCTCCCCGTCTCCTCGCCGTTCACAAACTCCATTGCCTGGCTGCGGCCGTTGGTGACCTGCCTGACGTAGCTGGCCGGCGGCACCTCGCAGAACAGGGCGTGCTCTGTCTCAGTCAGGATGAGCGCGACCTCCTCGGGAAAGTGCAGCAGCTTGCGACAGCACTCAAATTCTTCCAGGTATAGCGACGTCTGGGTCTCTAAAATGCGGGTGACATCTTGGCCAGTTTTGTCTGTAGGGGGAGGGGGACAGAGACGAAAAAAATGATACATCTGGTTCTGATTTTCAATTTAAGTAGCACATTTACACATACGCGATTTTGTCGCGAGTGTGTCCACAACTATGCGATATGTCCAGTTTTGAAATTAGCACACAGCTAACGATAAAATCACTTCGAATTTGATTTTGAAAAATTAGAATAATAGGTCGCATGACTTTGTTGCGTAAAGGTTTAACATGCTAAATGATTTGTGTGTATGTAAAAAAAAAGGCAATGCATAAATTAAGCTGTCCTTAGCTACGCCCTTGCTCGTCTCCTTCAACCCTTAGCTGCTAAATCTCCACTTAACCGCATACCACGTCCGCTGAGTGCATTCCAGTCCTAAATCCCAGCAGGGCTAGGGAACCAGAAACCATGCAGACTAATTATCCTAATGTTCTGTTTTTGGTTGGACCCCAAAATGTTCACTGAAAAATGCAGACACCTGGAAATGTACATGGTTACAATCACAGAGACATTAAGTTGGGCATTGTAGAATATCTAGTTTTCAGCATTTCTTCCCTTTTTTGTGTAGTTTACTCCAACCATAGAGCAAGGACGTTGCTCTATATGCTCCAACACATCACTTACTATTCAGAAGGTCCTCAGTAAAAGATGTCCCTCAAATATCTCAATCTCAATATTACATTTATTTCCATACTGAACAATAACATAACAGAAAGCAAAATGCAATATTGTGGAGGCACAATCCTAATTAGCCAAGGCTTGTAGCGGAGTGCCTTTAGAAGAGAAAACAAAGACATGAACTAATTAAATAGTTAATTAATTAAGTCAGGGACAAAGATAAACATGAGGACAAAATGATCTGACCAGAAATTCATTTATAAAAATGACTGGAAAAAAATATATTGTAGGAGTGTTAGTTTCTATAGACTTGTGAATTGTTGACTCAGCTGAACATTCATAACTGAGAGGGAGGATTTTAGCTTCGATGAAAAAAAATCTCATGAAACCGAGAATGTGTAATTCAAGGAATTGTCTTCCACTGGAGAGAAGGCGTGCATATCTTGCAGTCAAAAAGATGGAACTATGACACACTGCTCTGCTAGGGGAATTTTGAAAAGTTATCTAAAGATAAAGCCAGTGAATACGTGCAGGCTTCCGAATTTACAGCGAGAACAAGTACATGTGCACTACGCAACACTTTTAGTTGATTAATTTCTCATTAGATGGAAGAATTTGATTTGTTTCATTACCAGGATGTGTTACAGATAAAAACTGAAGTGGCGTCATGATAATATGACGTCATCGCATGTCATGTGATGTCACATTAAACGGGCTTGATCTTAAAGGTGCATTATCTATTCAAAGTCCATTATCTAGAGATCTTCAAATCTTATCAGGTTGAAAGATGTACATTGACAGGAACGTACACGTATGTATTCCTACATGAAATTGAAAATTTACATTTACAGGATTAATTAATGAAAAAAGCTCATAAAAACATCATGATGTGGAAAAACATTGTTTTGAACATGTTTTGCTTTTACAATCACAGTAAGTCTTGTCATTATTCTTGCAACACTTGCAGTTAGTAACTTGAACCTGCATTGGCAAGTCCCAAAAACAATCCGAACCAGAGAGAGCTGAATTTATGTTAAACACCCCGATAATGAACAAAACCTGAGACCAAATTGGAAACCCCGCGGGAAGTCCCGAAGCCAGGCTGGGCCAGCTCGAAAAGGAAAGCCATGGTTTTCTTTAGGTTGTGCACGGCCGGCCGCGCCGCGCGCCATAGGCCTCCGTGCTGGTGTATAAACTCTCTGCGTAACGTATTCGAGAATAAGGTGAAATTGAATCTGAGGAGAAGTCTGTTTTTCCAAGAAAATTTTCAAGACTGTGAAGGAGGGGCGTATTTGTTCACGCTGATGCAGTGGGTAATTGAATGGAGAACTGCCCCTTTCTAGTTTTTCAAAAATAACAACCCAGGAAACTGAAGTAGACTGTAGATAACTAAAAAGAATGTATTATTTTTTTCTTCAAGTGCAAAAGGTGTAGCAACTCTGAGATAGCAAAGTGACTGCTTTTAAGAGATTTGGTTATACATGTACGAAGAAAAGCATTTGACACAGCTTACATGTAGTATAGGTTTTCCCGGCCAATTTCCTTAAATGTTCATTCACTTCTGAAAATCGGCCATTCATTTTCGTCTGAATTTGAGAATCACTCTGCACACCCGTTTCATTTTCGCTACCAGAGCATTCGATTCCATTTCAGTTCAATCAATTAAGTGATTGAGCAGCACCTTTCGTTTATGTCCATTCTGATTCGTTTATAAGATTTCTTTTTCGCTTTTAGAGGGCGATTTCAAACATTGACCATTCTATTTCACTTTTAGTTTAATGCTCTGTGATGTGACGTAATCTGCTATTTTGAATGAGAAAATTGTACTTTTGATTGTACAGTCACGAAATTGTATTCCAGAACTCTGCGAAAAGGAATGCTTGCGTAAATGAATGCACAGGTAACGTAATTGGCCGTCAGTTTCTCAAAGCCGAATGCACGGACAATGAAAACGTTTGAACTCTCGTTGAATTGAAAGGGGATTAAAGACGTACATTCAATTTCAGATGAAAACGAATGACCGATTTTCAGAAGTGAATGAACATTTCTGGAAATTGGCCGGGAAAACCCATATTTAAGTTACAACTGTGATGAAAAACCGTGATATAGAACTTTGTCAAAATGACAATCTTTATTAACATAAAAACTAGAAAAATTACATTGTATCTCCATACATTATTTACACAAACTGGTCCAAGAACCGAGAAAATGTCTTGGTGAAAATGTGTTAAAAATCGTAAAGCTTGAAGTTTGTAAAAGTTCACAAGAGGCTGTTTTGCTCATAACTGAATTTTTATGGCTTTAAATTCTCCTTTCCAGAATTGCAGGCAGGAGGTAAACTTTCCAAATTACAAACCACTAGTAAACAGAATAAGTGGAGAATTTGATAAAATTAATTTGTTTTCCTGAGGTTTTGTAGAAACCCTTTCCTATTCATTGCAACCCTTCAACTTTTTGACCAGGCTGCAGTGCCCAGCTTTTGTTAGTCGCACTGTTTATGACAAATCTCGGGGTTGATGCAGGGTTGACGCAGGGAAAACGTGCATCGTTTCACACTTGAAGAATTTCAACCCTGCGTCAACCCTGCGTCAGCCCCGAGATTGATTTCCCCCCGGATTAAACTCAACCCTGCTCAAGACCAGGGTTGAGATTTTCAACCCGGGTTGAAATTCTTGCCAGGGTTCAAAACAGTAGTAACTGAGCATGATAAGCTTGATTTGCATGAAACAAGTGTGAAACGATGCGGAGTTGAACTCGGGGTTGAAAAATCAAAAACTCAACCCGGGGCGGCACTGCATGGGTTCGCCCGGGGTTGAGTTCAACCCGGGATGAGAGGCTCTAGTGTGAAGAGGGCTATAAGCATAACCTTGACAATTCTTTGAATGCTTACATGTAAACGCATGCACTCTGTCATCACCTGTCTTGAATGCATGAAGGGGGGGGGGGGGAGTGGGGGGGTCGGGAGGCGAGATATGGTCCCCAGCAGTGACAGTCTTTCATAGTGCATACTTGTCATACTTGGCCCTGCGTGAAATGAATTATCCGTCTTCACCGGAAGTCCCACGTGTTTGAACTGCGAGCTATGAATCAAAATCTCAGACTGTTGTCACACATCATAAATATTGCTAAAAAAACCAGTGTCTGACATATCTATAAACAATACATATGTAGGGGTATCACAACGTCGACACCATAATTTTTAATGCGGTTTGGATTTATATGGCATACATACATGCATGTGTGTATATGATCAGCACGTATTTTCACCATTCTGGTGTACTTCAGATTTTCCTCATCTTTACATGAATATCTTTGAGATTGAGAAATTTGTTGTACAGTGGCAACTCCAGCGCTGTGGAAGCAAAGCAGATCTATTTGTGCCCCCCCCCCCCCAAAAAAAATCAGAGGGTTGCAGGCGTCTAAAAATAGAATAAAACATACAAATTGAACATTTAACAGAATGTATTTTTACAAAATGTATTTTCTTTCAGATCTGTATCCATCATGTAGTAATGGTCAAGGAGATTACAGACTAGGAGTTTGGGATCATTTTTCTGAATCATTCATTAGATATCATGGTTAATTTGGCTCTGTCACGGACATTGCATTTTCTTGCATAACACTGGAATAAGCCCAGGTCCCAATTTCATAGCGCTGCTTAACAGCGGTTTGTGCTTAACGAGCCTCCATCTATTTCATAGGGATCGTTAAGCAGTAAGCACAGCAAAAGCACGCTTAACCCCAGAAGAAAACTTTGCTTAAATCAGTGACGTAACAATAGAATTCTCCATGCGCGCGCAACCGTTAGCATGAAATAGTGCTTAAGCAGCAGCATGATTTTCTGCTATAGTAAGCACAACTTTTCTGCTAACTGTTAAGCAGTGCTATGAAATTGGGCCCAGGTCCATCCAACAAATCAACAAGAAATTTCAAACCACAAATCCTAAAGCATGTTACAAAATATTATCCACATATCCTTCAAAATCTATGAAGAGACTTCGGCGGAAAAAATGGAAGTTTTTGCTACATAAATGTACAATGTCTGTGCTGGAAGGCATGCAGAGAGTCAGCTTGATGCTGTGAAACATTTGAAGGATTTGACAAAGATGCAACACATGACAGTAAAATGCAAATAAATGTACCCCTTGCGACTACATACAATTATGGCATGGCTTACTAAAAATAAATCGGCTTTCTATATGTATATAGTTTTCTGCATAACTATGGATTGGACCATCTGGATTTGGTAAAGCCACAGGAAAACTGACTTCTGGATGATGACAGACCAAAAGGGATGTAGAAATCTTAAAATACATACAATAATTCCTGCGGATCATCTTGGCACAATTGAGGTGCCAATCAAAACATTCAGGTGTAATGCAAATAGCTTTTTCATCAATAGTTCCTTGGGAATTTTTGTAAAAACTGTTTTCCTCACTGAGCAAGAAAAAAAAGGCTGACTCCTCCCTTTAAAAAAAACCTGGACAAGGAACTTTTTTTCTTGTTTACTTGGCCTAATGGCTAGCATCAATCACAAGATGCTGCCACTTGACACTGCAACATGCCGTGTTTCTACTTCATGATGCACGTTCATGTTACTTCTCTCCAACATGGCGAGTATTTATAACTGTGTGTGTGAAAGTGCACGTACCACCACCACATGTGCCACATGTTTTGGTAAGGTAATGGTTGAAAGCGCAAGTCGTAAATGTCAAAAATGGTCTTGGAACACGGGAACACGCTTGAAAACAATTTTGGAAAATTTGTAAATAAATCTGGAGACAATTTAGCTGTGAGAGACAGGTACGTCCACTTGCGGACAGATTTGTTTTGATCTGCATTTTACAGGTGTACGCAAATTAAAGGTGATGGAATGCAATTGGTATGATTTGTTTGTTAGGAGACTGAACATGTACGTGGACATGTTTATGCCAACATTGCAATATTGCGTATCACCCGCAATTGCGCCAGGAATGCCACATCTGACAGATACGGCCCACTACGTCTACTATTACGAATGTCACTTTCAACTTTATTTCAATGAATATGTTGGATTTTAAACGGTATAGGCATAGAACAACTGATTCTAGAGGTGTGCATCAATGGGTTGTACAGGAAGCAGGTAACCGATAGAGGTACAATAAAAAAAATGTCATTGGTTTCCTAAGCAGAGGTGGATTTTGGAAGTTTTAAGAAGGTCCCGATTTGTGGCAAAATCTGCCAATGAATCAGGGATTACGGGGTCCTAACCGTGACTTACTCAGAGTGGAAGGAGACCCCTCATTTGCCGGCACCTCCCCGTTAACGTCCCCGTTCTCCTGCGTCTTCTGCATGACGGCCGTCAAGTTGGCGCAGATGGCCTTCAACTCCACGAACGTCAGCGGCTGGACGGCCCACTTTGCGTTGCCCTGGAACTCCAAGACCAGCTGGCTGATGCCGTGCCGGTAGGCCCCGATGTGCCAGTTCTGGAGCAAGGCGGTGCGGTGGCAGCGCAGGACTGACTTGGAGGAAGGGTGGAGCAGAGAGATGTCTTTGGGTCCTATGCACAGGATGCGAGGAGCCTGGAAGAGGAAGGAAGGAAGGAAAGAAAGGGTTACCCCTTCGAGTTCAGAGAAGGAAAGCTTGATGACTTTCAAACTGACAACTGCTATGGACCCCGTACACAAGTAGACCTTGACAGTGACAAATGGAGTTACAGTCACTTGCCCAGCATGCATCATGCATGCCAAGGCGGTGGAGGAAGTGCACATGCAGATGGAGCTAGTTGTTGTACTCTCCCTACAGGCCTATGTGTTTCCCCTGCCAATTCCATTATGTGGTGGCCCACCTCGCAACGTTTAGAAGCCACCACAGGCTTTTTTACTACAAATACCACCTCACAAAGAAAATTACAAGGAAAAGTAATAAATACAAAAAGTCATTGTATTTTGTGTTAAGTGTGGACATTTTCTCGTCATTTGGAACATGTTTCTGTAGCAAAAAAAAGTCACCAAGTTTAAGAAATACATCAGATATTCCGACACCATTTCATCCCGCATTTGTTTAGAGACAAAAATGTACGTGTATCTGTATCTTGCAAGTGTGCATTCATGTAAGAAAGTCAAATGCTCAAGTGAGCACACAGTTTCAGGTCCACGTACCGTCGATTTGGGTACCATCTCACCCTCCCCAAAACCCAAGGGGAAAAAACCCTCTCTCGCACAATTCGTGGGAGAATGAAGAGAAAATGTGTCAACCTTTGAGTTTATAGTGAAGAAAAGACTTCACAAAGTAACAAATTGACTTACAAGAACTTGGCAAAAAAAATAGTGTAGAACAGAGCTGAAAAAAACCCTAACCATAGGGCAGATATGTTGTGCAAAATGGGAGTTGCTAAGGTAAATTGATCTTGTTTCAGACCCCCTTCCCCCACAGCTCTAACCACCGCCACTCACCGAAAACACCAAACCTGTGGTAATGACAACATTTTCAAATGTTTCTGCAATTCTGTGAACATTTTCTGACATGTTCTGAACTTTCAGACCGACTGCGAAGTGTTTTTTAAATATTAAACATTCACAAAATGTTTACTATCCACGAAAGGCTCATACACATGCATTGGGTGCAATCAGTAATTTTATGTTGCCAAGCACTGAAGATCGCACTGAAGATCGTGCCAGTGACCCAAGGGACACTTGATACTGTTTGTGCAAACTTTTCGGCAGAGAGGGACATGTATCGGGACTACATTTGGAGTGATTAATTAATATATGGCCTTGTCAGCACAGCTGAGCAAATGTATGTACACAAAAACCAGTTAGTTCTTGCAGATAAGATTCCCCCTGGACAACTTGTCAATATACCAATATAACTTGGCCCAAGGGTACTACATGTGTATGTCTATACTACTCCACAGGCAGGCAACCTAATTCATTATAAATAAAATATCACACGTCTGTCTATGACATGTACCAGTATCATTTCCAGAAATTCTTTAATTATACTCCATACTAATAGTACTGTCACTTTCAGTTTCAAATACCTGTAAATCTACCAATCTACACATACACACTATCCTTGTTAACCCAAAACCCTAACTTTTTAGTTAGTAGTTTGTTGTCATTGTCTATTGCTCCTACATATTTTGACCGATTTCAACCAAACTTTGTCAAAAGTATCAGTAGCCCAGCCACAATATGTCACATGACCAAACTGGGGTCACAGGTCATCATAAGTTTACTTAGGCTAAAAATTCAAAACACTACTCCTTCCAGATTTTACATGGCACAATCACGTGACTCATGCATGAACACAAATTCGCTAGCCTGCAGCTTCCGAAATATTTCCGATCGAGCTTGTTTTCCAGAATCTACACTGCGCAGTAACCTACGGTATAAATGGCATATTCTTTGCATTTACACCACATTCGGTGTACGTGTGGTCTAACGGTTGAGCATACCGGAAGGATTCATGATCGTGAGATTGTGGGTTCGAGCCCCGCCGTGGCCATGCGTGTTGTGCCCTTGAGTAAGGCGCTTTACCTCAATTACTCCTCACAACCCAGGTGTTAAGTGGGTATACCGGCATTATTCAATGCTGGGAAGGTAACAGACTTGCTGTGGAGGTGTGGAGATCCCCCCACACCAGCATTTCATGGACTCGAGTCTGGCCCAATCGCTTCGAAAGAGAGATGGGCACTCCATTCCTGTGAACACAGGTTCGTCCCCTTTACCCTTTTTTCACTCCACATTTGGGCCTCATATTTTCATGGAAAGTCTTTAAAAGCAAACATCAAAACCAGGAGCTGGCACCTTAAAACCGGCGGAAAAAAATTCCACAACTGTGTCCCTGTTCAGCTGACACTGGCCTGATTTTTGTCCTCGGGGTCGTTCTGCAGATACGACAACTGTATGTGCAGTGCGCTCAAATCAAGCAGTAGCCTAAATCCACTTTAATATCCGGAATGAGGTGCACGGGAGGAGAGAAACCCCTGTCAGGCATTTCCTGAAGTTGTTTTTTTTCACTTGTCATTTGTGAGTAATCGCAAACGGGGGCTCTGAAAATTCTCCAAACATTGACACAGTGGCCGATGAATGCAACTCAATCTACAGGCACTGGGTCCTCGTCCTGATCAGATCGCAACACAATACAGCCAGGTTTTTTTTCTGAAACGCCCACCGGGACTCCTTTCACCCGGCACGGCTGAAATTCGATCCGGGATTTTTTGTCTCGTCTCTTCTACGTTCAAGAATTTGCAGTCAGTGTATTAAATTTGTGCTTGTTTTGGTTTACAAAAGGACCATTTGTAAAGTCCTGTCCAACTTCCATTTTTTCATGTTGGCAAGTACAAAGCAATTGTCGGTCTGTAGTTGTAATCCCATGTTGTCAAACACGGAGGAAAGTGTGTTTGCTCTTGATCCAACCACAGATGCCATATCAGGTTATTGAGTCGGCCCGTGGGAAGGCGTGCCTCGAAAATTTATAGTCCATGAGATGTGGTTCATTCACTTCTGGGTACAACTTCATACACCTGTGAGACATGAACACCTGCCGAGCGATGGAAAATCTTCCAATAAAACCAAAAGTTGAATTACCTGAATATTTGCAACGATGGGGATGATCAGTCTTTTTTTATGAAAGACATTGCCTTGTCTGGGAGCCAAAACTTGGTAGAAATGACAATTTTAATCAATCAAATTCAGAGAATCCCCAACTGCGCATTAAAGTGTTTAAAAGGAGAAGCTCACACAAGTAATGAAAACATCCCGATACCGAAATGCAAAATAAACGTTTAGTGGCACATTACATTAATGCACAGGATACAGCAGATGGATAAAAATACTTACATGCGGCGTATCTCTATTTCTACAAAACCACTTGCCAACACAATCCACCTCGAGCGACTGTGCACATCCGCAAGTGTGCTCTCCAATTTTTTTTGCCGGATAAGTCAGCCAGCGTCTTAAAATAGCCCCTTAATGGCGTGGGGGCATGGGATGTGAATAACTTGGTGACAGTGACACATAGCCATATGTAACCCAAGTCATGTGCAGTCCGTCATTGGGGCCGCACAGTCCGAGTCCGAGTGACTGATTGGCAGGACATGGAGTTCGATCCGGTCTTCCGTTTTGGTAAATTGCTTGTGCCAGCGCGTAAGTGAGTAACTGAGCAAAGTATCTGCATTATGTTAAGAAAAAGAAGGCAGACCAAAAGAAAAGGAAAAACTGCATGTGGGTCAGGGGTTGGTTGAAGTCCTCACAGGACTGAGTTTTACTGTTCTGCTGTGATGTCGGAAGTCCCTCGTGGCCGATCCTGATCCTTGAGCAGCAGAAGCAGGTCCACGACCTCCTCGGTCGGCTCGTTTGAATAGATCAGACATTCTTGGCAAATGTTGTGTATTCCCGCGCTCAATAAATGTAAACATATTGATGGCTTACCGGTGGCCTGATATAAACCCTACTGCTCCCTGGAGAAATTGATTAGCCGGGAAGGATTTCAGATCTTTAGCAATATCACAGACTCACATGAAATATCACATGTGGAGAATGCATGCACAGCAGAGTCTGTGAAATGTTTTTTTATATAGCCAGAAAGACATATGGTGGTGATTTTACACTCCATGAAAGACGACTCATTCTCCATTTAGAGAGAATCCTAAATTCTACGGGGGAAAAAAGGCAACATCCTTATTATATTGGTCTACATGTATCATGAATAAGGCATACATGCGTTGGCTTAGTGGCAGATCTACATGTACCGTACATGTCCCTCGGGCCACCAAAACAAATAGGAAAATCATGCAAAACAGAGTAGCACATGCCTGTTAAACCGGCGATTGTGTAGTTATGGGCCCCGTTCCTATAAGAGAACAAAAATCCACTTTTAGGTTATTGGACCTACCCAAGTGGGAATGTTATGGATAGAGGGCGGGTGATTGATTTTTTTTTTTTAAGGTAAATTTTGGGGTATAAATGACGATGCAGACGACAACACCAACACGAAAATCAAAATGGCCAACTCCGCGACGTTATAGCGCAAAACCGCCTTCACTCGCATGGCTTCAACTGAAAAATGCGTAAGAAAATTGTATTTTCTACCAAAAAAATACTGTTCAAAATTTGAACAAAACTGAACAAAAATAGGGTTGTAAGAATTAAAGGACTGTTAGGTTGCAGGAGTCATTTTGGAATGACAAAAACATTTTAAGGACCAAAAAGAAAGAGTGGTCGGTAACTACACAATCGCCACTAACCCTCCCCCCCCCCTTGACAGCTTACCCCCCCCCCAACCCCCTTGAGCCAAAGATGGATCCGCCCCTGCTTATAACTACCTGCCTTTCAGAAGAATATAACAGTCCCTGTTAAACATTACACCTGGGTTTGCATTCAGATTTCGGAAGTACCTCAATCTAGCTGCACAACTTCTACCCTAGCTGCACCTCAGGCGGCGATCCATTAAACTTCAGTTCCTCCAGGTCATGATGAATTGCATGTCTGCTAACAACAAGCTCCAAAAAACTTGTCCACAGGCAGTACATTTTTCCATTTTCGAGCATGCATTGCTGCTTTTACTACAGAGTTCA